ACAGCAAGAAAGTGCATTAAATAAGCTTTCTTTTGGTATAGGTTCCAGCGTTCAAAACAAAACATGAGCGAAATTATAAGTAGCTAAAGTTGTGAACTGAAAGAAAAAGCTTGTTTTCTTTCGAATCTACGTTTTTCACCCTAAATGAAAGACAATTTGAATAATTTCTCAAATTTCCTGAACAACGTCTCTCCTGTCTTCTTGCTTTTAAATTTTAAAGTTAAAACCACTCGATATGGCAATCGACATGTACGTCTGTCAATAAAAAATAGTCCATCGAAACTCATAAACGAGAAGATAAAAGTAACTGACAACATGTGCTGCTTCATCATTTTGCCTCCGTAAAAATAAACAACAAAAGCTTTCAAAAAGCATATGAAACGGCAAACAATAGCACAGACGGAGAATGTTCTATCACTGTTTGCATTCATTCAAGAATAATAATTTTCTTTCGAACTGCCAACACAAAAGGTTGAAGAAGGCAGGAAAAAAAAATTAAACTATGAAGCAAACAGATAGCAGCAGTGCATAATAAATGATTGGAATTGTTGTAAATAAATAAGAAGGAAAAAGACCATAAAAATATTCTTATCATTTTGATATGCAAAATTGTTTCTCGTATGAGGCATTAACAAGATGCACTGAAAGAAACATATGCTCTCAGCTTTTCCTACATGGAATGTGTTCTTGAAGGAAAGTTCATCAGTGTAAGGCCAAAAGGCAAATAAACCGATTAAAATTCATGATGAATAAAATTCTAAAGTTTTGATATCTTTCCTTTATGTTTTCTTCCCTTTTTAATTCAATTTCGAATTGACATTTCGCGAATCGAGCAAAGTTTCACAGTGTGTCGTTTGTTGTGCAATGAAACTTAAGCTTATCTCTCGATCGTGACGTTTTTGGATGTTTTCATGCGCATCTGAGTGAAGCTTCTCGTACGATGTTTGCATTTAAAAAAAGGCACAAAACTGAAGATCGCGTGGTGTGTGATGAAACTTTAAAGAAAATTATAATTCAGATTTTACAGTGCTTGTCTCTCAAATTGATTCAATACTGTTCATGTTCAACTCAACATAACATGCATCAATGAAAAGAAGTCTCACTGTATGTCATTTAAAGATTTTTTTGTCGTGAGAGAAAATTCAGATGCTCATTAAAATGACATTAAAGAGTAATTTCAATTAATTATAGATAATTTAGGCAATGTGATTGACCAACCAAGCGGTAAATATTCCAATTATTCTTCTCTTAATTTTTGAATAAACGGAGAAAACTTTTCAATCAGAATTGCTAGCACATCGCTGAGTCATGAAAGTGTCAAAGTTTAAATATTGAAGATGATTTTTTCCAATTGCTTTTGCTACTAAACTTCCATTGATTAATTTGCTTCTTCAATTTTAAAGTCAATTAGCAAATTTTGACTAAGAGTTCTTAGCTTTACAAATTAAATAAATTAAATTTCACCTCTCTCGATCTTTTGAGTTTAAAATTTAAATTGAATTTACAATTGGAATTCAAAGTTCTTTTCTTCATGTTGATGACAATAACAGTTAGAAACTTACAAACGTTCTAAAGTGGCGCACAAAAATGTTCTCGACTCGAAGAATCTTGAACTTCATTCCTTCTTCTATTCTTATTTAAACAGTATTTGTGCACTTATTTTGCATGAAAAATCAATTTATCATCAGGCCATCTAATTGTGTTTTATTTATTTTTCCTTCTTCCTCTCAACCGTTGCATTAATTGAATGGAGTGCAAAATGCAATTTTCTATTTTGCACGTTTTCTCGATTCTCCCTTGGTCATGGTTGCAACATTGAAAGAAACAGAACGAAATTCTTCACAAAGAAGAAAATTGACAATTGTCGATGCATGTAAGAATCGAAATCTTCTTGTAAGTTCTTACTTTGAATTTGCGACAACATCGCAACCGATACAGTTCATTTAAAAGTTATTAATGACGATAAGAACGTGTAGTACAACATCACATTCAATAATAAATTTTGATCTAAATGCATCGATAATTTTTATGCCAATCCAGTTCATTACGCTAGAAGGAAGTTAGTCTGTGTGACTTGAAACTTTCAATTAAGTCTTGTGTAGAGATAACGGGAAGAACTCCGCATTTTGAATGTGATCTTCGTGCCGATAACCTTCGTCTTATTGTTTTCTTCGGTCGATAAGACACGACTTGAGTTATTTTTCTTGTTTTCAAGAACCGGCGAGTGAAGGTAATCAGCAATAGATCACATTTGTTCCTGGAAGGAAACACGACCAAAAAACAAAAAGTTCGAAATGGTGAAGTACAGCCCGTGGGAGAGATAAAGATTAATAGCAACGAGAGTCCCGCGGCCCGCTCTTTCCTTTGCCTACTTCAGCCATTGCAATGAAGTTTTTTAATTTCTTCTGGATCACGACTTCGCAAATAAAATTCTCCACTCGTCTTCTAATGAAATTAATCATCATCGCATTTAGCTTAGTAGTTAGTTGAGCATGAAGCTAACGACGCGATGAATGTTATGATAGAGTCGAGAGGAAGAAGAACATGTTCTTGAGGAATCTTCACCAGAGATTCTTCACTAATGAGCTTCCATTTTCCCTCTGGTTTTTTTTCCTATCCTCACGCCGCTTAACTTAACTTCCAAGAAATTTTCCTTAATTGAAAATTTGTTTGGATCATGCAACATTGCGCATTTGTCAATTAAACACTTAATTAAATGATATTGTGTGCTGTTTATTTATATTTTGTTTTTTGTATTTCACGACTCTCTTGCAACGGCTTGTTAAGCACATTGACTCGATAGCATGAAAAAACCATTTGTAGCGAATAAATATTATGTGACCGTATCACATGAGAAAATTGGTCATATTAAATGTGTTTGCAATTCCATGCAGCAAAGCCGTCCATAAAATGTCAAATGGGTCTCTTAAATACCAATTCTGCCACCCGATTCCGAATGTCGCGATGATAAAAAAAAGAGTTTCGTGAGAGATGTTTGTTAAACGCGCGAGAAATAAGGTAAATATTTAAATATTTATGGATCGATTTTATGCTTGTTTTCATGAAGAGTTCGATGGAGAAGAAAGACGTTTTAGGAACGTTAACTTTCAAGCATGTACTCGAGAAAACGTAGGTAAAAGGTTTGACAACCACAACATTAATTAATACGAGAAACGAGTCAATGATGACTGTTGAAGGAGCGACGTCTGATGCTAAGTACAAATGGCAGGGAAGTAAATAGAAGAAAGAGATTTAAATAATTTCCCAGTTTAATTAAACAAGAAAAAATGACATCTGAGCGCCCAACAGAACACCAAATAGCCTCAGCTTTTCAAGTTGCTGGTAAATATCACCATAAAAGGCCAACATACTGACAATGACGACTTCAAATGCTATTGCAGACAGATTCAAACGAAGTAAACACTACAAGAACAAGCATATAATTTTAGCATTCATTTGAATGATCATTGTATTAATTATTTTAAAAGAACAAATTTCATTAACGGTAACGACTCAACATGGAGATCATTTTCAACATTAAATAGTTCAATTAAATATATTTTTCTCATTTTATATCTGAGAGTCACGGTTTTAAATGGCAAAGTTGCAATTGTCGCGAGACAATAAATCAGAACGTTAATCTCCTTTTATTGCCAATCAATTGATTGGATGCATTATGTGCAATAATTTTGCTTTATTGCATTTAACGCTTGACCATTTAATTGATGGATTGTTTGTGTTTTCAAGCGACATAAAAGAGAATTTGAATAATTTTTAGATAAAAATGCAAATGCTAGGCAACATTTTTTTGCTCTTAATTTTTTTAATGAGATTTGCTTCAAAGTTGCCAAATTGCTGATGAATGATAGATCTGAATAAAGGTTTGTTAGTTCTTTAAGAAACAAAAAAATAGACGACAAAAGACAAGTTAACATATGCGCACAAGTTTGTTATGGTTTAGAAAATTTATTAAAAGTTTTAATCCTAAGATCTTCGATGTTGATACAATTTTGCATAATAAGCTGCTTTAAAATGACTTTATTTATATTTGTTTGTTGTTAGCGTGAAAAGATCTTGAACAAGAGATTAAAAGACTTTGTTTCAATGGTCAAGCTCGCGCCAATGGCGATGATTGCAAAATCACATTATGCATTGTTAAAAAGTTCCAAAATTAAAAAGATTAAAATTGATTGGATTACCCCGGACAACCAAAACAAAATGCAAAAGGTTTTTAAATGCAAAGCGAATCCCAAAACGTTGGTGTGTTCGTTTAAACTTGTACTTGTAACAAATCCATTCAACTGAGACGTTAAATAGTAAGATTTAAGTTGTTGTTAAAAAGTCTGCATAAATTAGATTTTCATCCGATCACCAACAAACACGTCAAACATGACAGGGAGAAAAAATGTTCAACATTGAAAAACTGAGATGCGTTATTCATCGTAAATTTATTAAATAAATATATGATGAAAAGATAAAAGAAGGAAGCTGTAGAGATTAAATAAAATGATGCTGATTACTGCACAGAAGTCGCTTGTTCTACATCAAAGAGAGATGAGATATCAGCGTTCATATATCACTTCGGACACAACATAAAAAATTGGAATCTAAACTTGTTAGGGAACAGCAGTTTCTTTCTTTCGCTTTTTTTTTTTGCTAGCCTACAAGTTGTTATGCTGCTGTTGTTGACTTGCTTCATTACATCTTTTGAACAAGCTTGGCTACACACATAAATTTTCTTTTACGCCATATAAATAAGAAGCGGGATGACAAAAGCGAAAGAGTGTGTAGAATATGGAATATTGTACGATGCAAGTCGATAGCGCAAAAAAAAGTTGAGAAAACTATTCTGTGGTTAATGCAACAACTCCCGGTTTGAAATAAAAGTTGAAACGAAATTACAAACGTGAAAATTTTAGACTCGAAACGTTCTCCAACTGGGTAATGATGAAGAAATATTTCTCGCCTTCATGTTACCATCTTTTGGAATTATGTATAAATCTTACTTTTTATGCAACATATATTTAGTGCTTCGGCATGACGAATAAAGCGAGAAGTGCGAAGGTATAACAAACAAAAAACTAAAAAAGCGAGTAAAAGAAATCATCCATTATTAACGATATTGCAGAAATTTCAAAAGGCTTTTCTTACTCGATTCGTTACTTCATGCTTCGTTTAATGATCATCAAGAATGAATGTAAATCTTCGATGTTTTATTTATGTATTTTCTTCTCTGATTCTTTTTTTACTTCTGGTCCATTGCTGCATTGGATTGTATTCAGAATGTCACTACCTAAGCCTATATAGAAGCTGAGAAATCTAAAGCAGCTTGAATGTCCCATCCTAATCCACTACAAAGTGTTAAAGTGTTTTGACAGGGAATTTGAGACTTTACTCAATTCATCCAATGATTTTGTGGTTATTTGTTTTTCAAGCTTAAGTTTTACAATATCAACATTCAGATGAAGTTACTCGAGTCTTTTTTAAGCGTAATCTTCGATTCAAATTGTTATTCTGTTGTTTCCCAAGTTGCCTTAGTATCAAATTTCAAAACTTTTGTGCTTCAGCTTGATATTCAAGTAAACAAACTTCAAAGAACTTCGTAATTTGAATCGTAAAATGGGCGCATATTTTGAGGTTTTTCAGAGCTCAATGAACAGAAACACTCATAACAAGCAATTAATTTACATTTTCAAATTACAAAATATTTAATAGAGGGACACGACTAAGCTTAGCGCGCCAGATCAATTACAGATCATTGAAACGAGCGAAAATTCTTTTCATTTTCCGCTTCGTTAAAATCGTTTCAGTCACGTTAATAATTAAGGTTTTCTCGCGCGCCACTTGAAAGACTGGAAAAGCCTCAAACATTTAAATTCGCTAAATCTCCTACTAACTTCAGCTTACAACTTCTTCATCGGCTAAGCTCTCGCATGTCTTGTGTCGACTACTGGTTTTAGATATTCACTTTTCATTTAATCAACATGCAATTGCGAAATGAAATTGAAAGACAAAGTCATTTGTGTCGCATTTATCGCTTAATAAGATTGGAAAAAGGAAAACTTATCGAGTTCTTTTTTTGTAAGCCTGCAAGCTGCAGCACAAATAGCGTCATATATGGATGATTATTAAATTATTGATTTAATTGAGCGTTGCAAACATTTCATGTCCGCTTTGATGTTTTTCTCTATTTCTAACATTTCTTCATGTTCACAATTCAATATCAACATCGCAATTTGTTTTCCTTCCTTCTGACTTTTAAGCTCGATCACAATACAAACGGAAAGTCTTCTCGCGCGAAAAGAGAAAACATGGAAACCATAATTATCGATTGTGCAATGCTTTAATTACATTAACCATTAATTGTTTCATTACATCAGCGTCAATAAAGAGTCAATGAAAGTCGCGGTTCTTGTGCAATTAATTTTAGGGAAGTGATTTGAACAAAAATTTGAGGCTTTTTGTTTTCTTTTCCCAAGCATAAGTTCAGCGGTCATTAATTTGTCGTTAAACTCTAAAGCAAATTACCGGTTATCGGAAGGAATTTGAATATCATGTAATCGAGTCGTTGGCATCATGCTAACGCATAAATTCTTATGTAATAGAATCAGACTTGAGTAGCCGAAAAATAAATAAATTTGATTGTGGGGTCAACGAATAGCTAAAAAACAAATTTTTCGGTTACTTTATGTATTCATTATTTATTTAGCTAGGTGAAGTCTCCATCAGCCATCCACAGTTTATTTTTCTTTCCTTATTCTAATGATTATTGATTTTTCTCGTTAGTTTGAAATTCAAGTTTTCAAGTAAGCAGTTTATTGGCCGCTTCTGCATGGAAGGCATCCCAATCAATGAGACACTAATCGACTTTATTTTCGCACAAATGTTTGCATCGTTGTCACAAGACATTGATTAAGCCATGAATAATTTATAATTCTCCTTCGGCACTTTAGTTGCATTGAAACGAATCATAAACTATCTGGTTAAGACCACGTCGAGGTTCTTTCGGAAAAAATTTAGTTCAAATCACAAACGAACATGACTCGCAATCAACACAACAAATTCTTGTTCTTTTCTTACTCTTACCTAATAAAAACATGGAAAAATTGTTGAGTGTACAAAGCTTTCTTAGCTGACCTAATAAGAATCCATTTTGACAGGAAAAGGCATATTTTAGTTCAATCGGCACGCAAACGACTTGTTGGTTTCTTCTTACAAATTTTATCGTACAAATGGAAATCTTGTTGGAAGAAAAATTAGGTTTTCCTGATTTTCCAACATTGATATCATTAAATCCAACTTTGTTATGTGACTCATAAGTCATCGCCTGCAAATGTTGACGTTCAATAGTAATTTGATGACGAATTCAAATTGATTCTTCGTCTCGGTGGAATTAAACAGAAAAGCGTTGCTTAATTGTGATGTGATATCATCGGCGGTGCTGGTGACGAAGTTTTAATAATTGATTAAGAGTTTCTGGGAAATTTCGAGACAATTTTCTTCTTTTTTCTTTGCAATCATAAAAAGTATTTTTAATAATGGTTTTTCCATTATGGAATGTCATTTTCATCATTCCACCTGTTCTATTTTATTTCTTCACATGATCGACGTTGTCAACTTCTGTCTGGCACATGACAAATAAGTCGATACATCGAAATGACGATACAATGGAATTTCCCAAACAAATAGAAAATAGAAAAATGACGCGACCTTAATTGACGATTCAAGCTTTCAATCATACTCATTCATTCAGAGAGTTATTCGAAAAAATAATAATTGAAAATCATATGTCTCATCGCTTCTACATATAGACATGAAATAAAGTGGGTCAAAATTATCACATGTATGATAAAATACAAAAACGACCTTCATTGATAATTACTTGGACAAACTTTCAACAAAAACATTTTCCCATTGTTTGCATTCGATGCGGTGCTTTGCGTTCTTGTTTAGGTTTTCCCCTTTTTAACCGAATTAGTCAAATTGATGGAGTTGAAGACGTTGAATAATCGAGTTCATGAAAATCACGAATTCCCAGACGAATTTCAAGAATTTGCTACTTCTTCTTGCTTAAATAAATGCAAAATCGTGTAGTCGTAAAATTTATTTGTCTTGCATATCTGACTAAAAATTATTTGTTTAAGTAAAGCAAAAGTTGCACGTAATAGCCGTGCAACAGAAGCATTATTTAATAAAAAAATTGCGACATGTTGGTATTCTTTGAACGTTTCCAAAGATTTTTAAAAGAAATGGAAGAACGCGTCGTTCTTAATTGGATTCGACTGTCAAATGCTTTATGTTGGTAAGCGAGGCAAAAGGAATAACACGTTGCATAATTTATGAGTAAGCTTACAACTATATTTTGCGTTTGAAAAGCCATCCCAAGTATGCTGGAAGCAGTTTGCTGACCGGAGATGGCAAAATTGTCAGGGATAGCTTCATTAAGTCTCCTTATTCAATGCTAATAAAAATAAATATATTTTATGGAGATGACTGAAGAGAAACTTAAATCTGTGTTTGGAATCAGATATTTTATTATCTCTCGGTAAATATCTCAGGGACGAATGTTGATTTTCTTCAGGCAACTCTACCTGCCTTTTAATCAGAAGTTGAGATTATTGAAACTTTAAGGATTGGCAATTCAACTCCAACCTGACAGCTTTTACGTGAGATTAAAATTTCATCCTGAAGCAATGATTAATCTTTATCCTAATCAAATCCCAATCGTCATCTTAAAATCAGCAGCAATTGAATAATGAAATATTTAACTCACCTTGTCCAATGCATTTCTGTAGATTTTTCTCTTCTTCTCATTTTTTCTCTACCGTTAGATAATTGTTAATAACAAATCCAATTTCTTTATCGACGCGAGTGAACGTCAAATCCGCATGTGACTCTTCTTAACGATCACTTCTTCAACTCTTAGCTGCTTTCTCGAGATTCACGTTAAATATCCGGCGTGATTTATTCACTTTAATGTTTTGTCCGACAATGAGAAAGAAACAAAATAATTTTTTCTGTCATTAATTCTCTCTTGTCATTATGGTGGCATTAATAAAGAAAAATTTTAAACGATTTTTAATTTTTTTTTCATTTCACATTGTCGAAGAGTTTTCTTTTCCGACAATGAACGGCACTGATGTGCGGTAACGTTTGAAGATTCTTAACTCGCTTTGCTACAGTTCTTGGTTGATTCCTTTATGTCTTTTATTTAATAACGTTTTAAAGTGTTGAAGATTACATGCGAGAAACAAATAATTCTGGTAGCAGTACTGCGTGTTGACTTCAATTGTTCGCCGTTTCTTCAGATTCCTTTGTAGGCTTTTTCTTGTATCGATGACTTAACATGGCTAAGTTTTAGCCCATTTTAACCTCAATGAAATCCCACAAGAATGAATAATAACAATTAAAGCTTTGTACGTGTCTGCAATGAAAGAAAGAAAAGAGAAATGTTAAATTAATAAATTAATTCTTCTCAGATATTTACACAAAAAGTCCATCAAAGTTTTGTGGTTTATTTTGCGTTGATTTCTTTTCCGAGAATTGTTCTTGACCGAAATTTATTGTCTTTGACTTTATTTCGGTATGAAACGAAACGATATATCGAATAAATCAATAAATGTTGTCTGTTGAATGTTTTATGAGCAACCAAAAACGAACAACGAATATTGGACTTAATATCGTCCCCTGTCTGATAGATTGCATTGCTTGGAATGCTAATGAAAGTTTTTTCTAACAATAATTCATTCCCGGAAAAAGGAATGCGTGACCTTTAACGATAACAATCATCAATCGACCTTCACATGATGAATCTTCCATTGAATTGTCTTCTGACATCAAAACAGACAACCTCAACAACAACATGTGTGACACAAGAAATTAATCAGCGATAGATGTGAAAGCATATTTCACAATAGGAAGTCAAGTAGGCATTAACAAGTTAACGCAAAGAGCCGCAGCCCACAAGAAGAAAAAGAGAGAAAAATCAATTTTTTAAGCTTGCCTTTAATCTTTAATTAATTTTTTTTTCTCGAACTCTTTCTCTAGTCGCACCCTCCAATTCAAAGCAGCATGTTATGGAACAGCTTTAACTTAATTCAATTTCTCTTCAAAAAAGAAATTAACAAACATCATAGAGTTAGCAACAAAACAATCTAAATTTTATCGAAACATTTTCATCGTTGTAATTAGATTTGTTGGTTGTTGGCCCCGAACAAGCTTCAAGACACGACACAATCGAAATCGAGTCGAGAGAAAGAAATTTCGCTTGGTAATCGCTACAGAAAAATCACAACAAACGAAACAAAGTTATGCAACTATGATCAAGACAACAACGGTGCGCGCACCTCAATTCGAAGTGAAATGAGCATCAAATGAGATTTTGTCTGCTTGATCATTCAATGAAAGTTTATTTTTATTTTTTGATTAAACATCGTCACTATCATGATTCGATCATCTTAAATTTTATAATGGAACCTAATGGAACCACTATGAAAGGAGAGAAAAAATGTGTCGAAGCTGTCGAATTGTTTAATTTTTCATACACTTCAATTGTATAAAGTCTCGTGGCTTAGTGCTTAGATGGAATGATCGAAGGGGTCTCCCGGTGTGTGCTTAGTTAATGAAGCAGGAGAGCGAGACAGTTTTGATAATCTTTCCTTCATTTCCCTTCCATTCAATATACTTTCAGTTTAGAGAAAGCAACGAGATCCATTTTACATCTAAGAGACATTATTAACGCATTTATTGAAGGCATAAAGTTAGTTTTGTGTATTTATGTTTTTATAACGATGTCTATGCCTTTAATCATAATAAAGTTCCATGAAAAGCACTCTCAAAATGGGTAGGAAAATTAAATGAATTCGCTTGACTTCATGTTGCCATGCCACGATATTGTTGAATGACTTTCTATAATCTCTTCTCGTTTGCGAACGTATAAGCGTCTTATTTGTTTTCTAAACACTTTAAAAACGAGATCGCAAAGCTTATACATTGAGAAACTAAAAACGTCTCTCCTCTAACTGCACGATACCATACGACAAAAGCTTTAGTCGTGTGATATGAGTTTAGGTGAGTTATTTTGTAATATGAACTCTTAATCTAGTTTTGTTGGGAGAGTGAATTATGTATTAAAATATATTAATGGTGAAGTAGCCGAAAAGCTTTCACAATCTACTGAATGCAATGAACAAACAAAGTATGAAACAAACGACCTTTTCTCCTGACTACAATTCGATAAAGGCACAACAGACTACAATTTCATGGGATACGAACGAATATTTCAATTTCTTTTTCAATTTATTGCCTACATAAAAGAAATTGAATTTAACTACTCTTAACTAATATTCGATTCCATAAAATATCTTTTCATTACGTGTTAATTTTTTTTTTCATCATTTCTATGAAATTTTTAAATTAAGACGTAGGCGTAAAATGCAACTTATTGTTTTCCACGATATCTCTTTTTTTTTTGCCATGTTCGTGAAGGAAAAGAGGCGATTGTTAAAAGGAGAAAATACTGAAACAATAAGCCTTTGACTCATTTCATCGCAATTCATGGATTAGAAATTTTTTCAATCATGTTCTGAAACGAACTCATCTTTCAACAACAAATGTAAGTCTTCTCTGACTCTTTCCCATATGATTTCACACTTCACTGCGTAGTTGAGTTGATAAAACTTTAAGCGTTCTCAACGAAAGCCTTTAATACATATTATGGTTATTTGAAACTCAACGAATGGGAGTCTATGTGAAGGCTACAGTCATGTCGTTCATTAAAATAAATTTCACACTCAAAAGCAAATCGAATTTCATTTCCACTCTTTTACGAGGCGAAAGGTAAAGAAGGTATTAGATGAAGTGAAAAAAGTGAGGTACATAACAGAGGAAGAAACTAATGGTTAATATTGAAATGTTTCAGGTTGCACTCTTGAACTGTTTTCTTTTCTGATTCTCTCGTTCACGATGTTTCTTTCCAAGGAACATTTCTTGAAAGTTTCGAAAAGACAAATAAGTGTAGCAGGAAAAAAAACCAGCTAAGTAATGAACCGTACCGTTCAGTTTTGTCGAGTCGTAATCCATGGAAATAGTTGAGATTACAAGAACATGTCATGCAGATCGCCCTTTTCCCCTCCGCCTCAAGCCTTCATTTGAATTCCTTCAAAGACACACTCGCCGATGTTTTGTGACATTTCGAAATGGTCGATTCAATAAAAAACTTTTTCTTATATGTGACAATACGTCGGTGACAACTATTTCATATAAACTCATAAATTCTATCCATTTACTAATATTTACGCTATTAAAGCCTTTCAATAGTCGATTAAATGGTAAATTGTGAGAGAAATTAATAAACAATCTTAGTTAATGTGTATTAATAAATGATCATTAATAAATATTTTCAAAGAAAAGAAAACCAATGTTGCATAAATGCAATGGGGTTGGTTGGAAACAACATGGTTCGACATTAAAGCAAGCTTCGTAATTAATTCTTTGTCAATAAAAATAATGATTCTTGTAAGTCTACAATGCCTTAAGGTTTCAAAGCTTCTTTCATCTTGTGTATAATAAGATGTAGAAAATATTGTATTATTAATAGAAATCAATAAACTTTAAATGAACCTTCAACATTGAATTTATATTTTCTTCTTGCAATTTTTTTTCAGCTCCTTAGCTTTCTCAATCACGAATCATTAATTCTATGTTGTTTCCAACATAACAACAAAAAATGAGAGAAAAGAATTCTTTTAAACACCTTCCAACCATTTATTTTTTCAATTACACTTTCCGCTTGTCCCTTCATATTGACGTCAGTTATAATGAATGTGATTGGAAATGTCATAAACTTATGCTGAGAAAGAATGCAAATGATTTTCGATAAATGCTTCGTTTGCAATTGTGACATTTTTTTTTATTTATTGGCTATTTATAGGAGTTTTAATTTCATATCTTGTTGACTTTTACAATTTTCTTTCTTTCTTCTGAATGTGGTGGCGTGAATAAGACATAATCAATTATGTGTTTAATCAACGTGTGTAAGCTCGTAGAATGCTCCAATTGACCATAATCGCCATAAAACTTTTTAATATCAAATATCGTCAGCTTCTTGATCGTTATCCACATTTTAAGTGGACTGGTTTGATATTTTATTAAACAGTTGCGAGATATTTTTTTTTGCTTTTCAAAGCCGAGCACATTTTATTTGCTTTTCTAAGTAAGCTGCAGCGTGCTGCATGACTGTAAACACTCAATCGAGCATTTCTTTTGTATGCCACTGTATCGAATTTTAAACGATTTTTGGCCTTACTTCTTTCACTGCCTTCGCGATCTCGGGTGCCTGCTTGGAGAGTTGCCGTTTTGTTCATAATTTCCTCATTTCATTTCTGCTTTGCAAACTCATAGCTTTTGTTTTTATGTTTTAATTTATTTTTCTCTACATTTATAAGTCTTTTTTTTTCTTCGCTTTATAATATTTCTCGAAACAGAAATAATAAAATAAAAGGTTTTGCTTTTCTTCTGGCTGCTGGCATGCAAGCTCACTATGAGGCCGCGCTTTCAAGTATCTCACAGTCTGTGATACATTGTTGATGACCAAAGCAAAAGTTGAACATTCGCTTTCATAAGTTTAAGTACTTAAGTCTCTAAATAAATGTGTGGATATTAAATTACAATTTGCAGAGTAAAAAGTAGGAGCAAAAAAGGCTTGTTGTGCAATATGTACTCGTAAATATAACTAAACGAAGCAGAATTATGGTTCAAAGTTGGATCAAATCAATCAAGAGGCTAATGTTTCAATTTGCACGCTTTTCGCATGAACACAGTCTTTATAATTTTTTATGCTAATTTCTGATCAAATTATGTAATAAATAATTCGAATGACTTTATGGGAACAGAAATGGGCGAAGACGAGATATAGTTTTAAGTAAGTTGCGTTTCGATCACGATTTCCCTGCAGGGTGAAAACTTTAAAAACTTTTCTTGCATGCAATCGGACGTTTTAATTGCTCTCGCTACGCAAATGACTAGTCATAGCTGAAGTCGAGATAACTGATACGAGATTTTTTTTCTCATGTCGTAAACAAATTATTGAGACAAGTTAAGAGTCGCTGGGAGGTTTCAATGCACTTCTAAAGACGCGAATCCATTCGTTATAACAGCTTGTGCTTTTTTCTTCGTGGATTTTAAAAGTTAGAAGGAAAAATATGAAAATAAATAAAACTTTAAGGAAGTAAAGTGAATGAAGAAACCTGAACAAAATGATTGGATTCTAAAATCAAACGATCAGTTTGTAGCATTTTAAATATTAAAAAGTAATATCTTTAAGTGAATTTTTCTTCGTGGAAGATCAAAACTTTGTTCTCTTCATTCGATTATTGAAATCAAACAGAAATTCATTAATTAGTTGACTCAATTTGTTCTGTTGAGATTATTAGCACCATCTTTGTGAAATGTTTCAATGAAATAAACGATACGACGAGGGCTATTAATTTTTTGGATAGAAAATGGAATCGAAAATGAGATAAAGAAGCTATAAAAATAAACTTCAATGCTTTAGCTCCATAAACTAATATAAAATTCTTACATCAGCTTTGAGCTATAAAAATGTTTATTAATATCTGGAATAATGTATTCATCATTATGATCGGATCACGCGTCTATTGCTTTAATTCCTAGACAACATTAAACTTGATGAAGTGGATTCGATTATTTATCAATTAGGTCTCATAATAGATAAAAAAGAGAAGGAAAATGGACTTTATTGGAATATAATCTTTGCTTTTAATAAATTGTCTGAGGTTTTAGGTAATAAATTTCTCAGAAGATCAAGAGCGAAGAAGAAAAAAACTTGATTGAAAGTTTTCGTGGAGAAACACTTAATTATTACGAGAGACTTGCAAGCCTTGCGGACTTTTCTTACGATTCTAAACTTCGTGATAGCTGAGAAAAATTCTTGCTTTTATTTAATACGATTTCATTTCCTGAGCTCGATTTATTTATTTATTTTTTTGATTTATTTTAATGTTGCATATTTTATTGCGTCTATTGATCTTCGGATAACTCGATACTACTTATTCAATATTCTTCTATAATAAGTTCTATCCTCTCGGCTATATTGTAAATTGCAATGAGAACGAACGCCACATTCTAGATATTCAAATCAGGAACGTTCCACTTGCATTCGCATTTCTTATGAACATATCTGCAATACTATTCATTCCATTTATTTTGCCAAATCGAATCGTGAAGACAATAAAATGTTTGAATTTATTTGTTCGTCTCCCGCGTTTTCGGTATGTTAATGAGATGCAGATATTAACACTCGCTTTGTGGAATGTTATCGCTTCAATTGGTTGCAATTTCTGAAGGTTGCGGTTGTATTTCTTGATCTCTCTTAAGAGTACAAGACTACAATGCAATAACAACAACTTTAACTTCTCTTGTGGAAAGGAAAATTCAACAAAATTGCCGTTCAATTAAAATTGTGTGTTTCGCGTATCAAATAAGGCAACATCATGAGCAAGGCTCGTTCTAGATAAATAATAAGCTTTCCATCCCCTCCCCATCGGCCTTTCAGTTTCTCGAATTGAGTGAAGACGTGAAACGAGAGTTGAGAATGAGATGAAATATAAGAAACAATTACGATGTCGAAGGCAAATTAATAATTACTCTTGTGAGTGCATGATCTCCGTCAATACCCAATAAATGGTATGCTGCAAACTGCAAAGAAGAAATTTAATTCTACAACTTGATAATGGTTTGATCTTTAAGTTCCTCAGTTCATTTAACTTCATTATTATACTATTTAAAAAAATATGAGATTTGTTTTAGCTACTGTTGATTGATCTGTGCGTGATTTGATTTATGAAAATCGATAATTTTGATAAAAGTTCTGTTTTATAATGATACTCATTAGCTTCATTTTCTACTCTCGTTTAATCTACTTTCTAACTGAAAGTGAGTTATTTAATAATCAGAAAGCGGAAGTGTCTAATTAAATTTGTCTGTTTTTTTTCAACTGTGCTTTGCTTAACAATTTCGCAATTTAATTTCTCACCCAAATAAAAATATTTGCGACACAATTATCTTCGATCATTGCATAATTCTCATTCGAAAATCATCGCATCGCAATGAAACAGATTTAAAATTTCTCATGAATTTCTCTTCGCAATGCCTTTAGCAATTTTCTTCGGGGTCTTTCTCAAAAAAAAAAAAAGCATAAAAATTGACTCCAACAGCGAAAGAGTTGAATAGAGCAGAGAAAATTCAAAACTCATCACAAGCTTGTTAAACTTCTTTTCTCTGCATTATTTTCCCGCTGCTGCCATCACATCTTTTGATGATGGGGAAAGAAGACTTACGATTAGAAGAGAGTGAAAGAGAGATAAGACAACAATTGTAATAAGCAAATTGTTGTCTATCAGATAACTGTTCATTTTATATTCGTTCATGAAATGAATGTTTGATCAGAAAATTCTATTGTTGAATGCTTAAATGGTGGCGAGTATGGTAGATGTGATTGTATAATATCTATTTAAATCAAAATGTTTGGTAATGAAGTTTTCTCTGACATACATGCATGAAACTCAAATAGGTCGTCTGGTCAAATAGTATTTCATCAGGTAATTTAACTTTAATAGCAGATATAAATTAAAACCGTAAAAGAAACTCGAGGGTGAAGCAGAAATGGCAAAAAAAATCGTGAGGTCCCCAAATGTTGACATTAAGCCATCTCACTCCTCAATAATCGTCAATCAATTTAAAGAGGGAAAGGCATGAAGAATGAAAACAGTTGCGCATGGTCATCATCACCCGTGACCTAATGAATATCGAATGAGACAGACAAGAAATGCAATTTGAAAAGTTGGGACCAACCCATAGAAAAATTGTTAAGACCAGAATCTCTCTTCGATCTTTCGCCATCAAAATGCTTTTGAAAAGCAATAAAAAAAAGTAAAGAAAAGGAGAGAAAATATTCATTAATGAAATCGTGACTTAACACAAATGAAATTATAAGGTTTATCTATCTATACGATAGTTATTGTTTGGCGATGTGTTTCAATTATTTTTGTTCCTTAAACAACAGCAAGTTCACGCTTAGAATTGATCTCTTCGAGTTCGTGCAAAAACAGAAACATCATTCAAGTTTTTTTTTCTTAAAAAACAGCCCGAGATTATTCATTTCATCATTGAAAGCTTGGAATGATGGCCTGATTAAAATTTCTTTCTAATTGTTATTGTTGCTGGTTGGAAACTGAAGATATTCTGACTTTCAAGTCAGTCATGATCGAACATTACCATTGCTATTAAATGAGTTTTACCATCATAAAAAGAAATAGCTAATAATTCCTCAAGAATTCTTTGATTATCATTTTTTCGCATCACTCATTCTATTAAACTTTTAATTCATTAGTTAAAGCTCAAGAATTCCATCAGAAGATAACTTATTTAAGAATTTTCACAAGCATTGAACGACTTCCATTCTTTTGATCGACACAAAGACTTCTTTCACTACCATCGAAATTGGAAATCATTATCAAAAGAAGACAAAAAATTTAATTAATACTCTTTTCCTATCTAAGCCTTCAATTCTTAAGAGTTAAGTTAAGTAAGAAGAACTAACGGTATAAATTTATATCAAATTCTTCAAAGCACATGAGATTTTCGGTGGAAGAAGTTGGAAGCTGATCTGAAGTAGTCGGGAAGCACGTTATTTTAATTAATTTTCTCACAAGCATTTCAAACAGAGCTCGTAAAAGAAAAGCAAGAAACATTTCACGTCCGCGATTTAAGTCAATAATAATTACCTTTGGTAGGAAAGACTATGTAAAGCTTTCTTTTCAGCGTCTTTTTAGTAAAAGCACTACAAGCGAATTAGATTTGAGGGAAATTGGCTGCTTCTGTTGTTATTATTTGATAGTGTTTAAGAAGTAAAAAAATTAGATGATTAACTTCGGACGCTTTAATGTGCTGTGCCAATCGTAAACATCAGCATGCGTCTAAAGTATATTCCTATTTCCAATTTCTAAGGTGATTTTAAATTGAGAAAATGATGATCGGATGGAAATTTTTGCGTACTATTTACTTAAATTCACTTTAAAAAAATTCATTCACTAAACTGACCTCGACAATAAATCAATGCACTTAAATATTTCTTAATTGTAAATTTTTGTGAGAAGTGGAACTTCACGTATTTACTTGACTTTGTGTCTTTACGCACGCTGATAACTTTAAATTTATAAACTTGAATTATATTTTTCTGGTTAGTGAGAAAGCTCACTTAATTCTCGATACAGTAATTTGATTTAATTAAAGCATTTTAACGCCACATCAGTGAGTCTGATTTACACATGTTCAACAACAACAACAACTAAATTGTACAATTAGAAGCACTAATTAAATCACTCAGCCGCACTGGCTAATTTTCCAGCAGACCGCATCGACACAAAACAGCAGCACATATGAGATTAAGCAAGAAAATAAAAAACGAAGAAGACAAACCATGAAATTTGTCTCATCAACTTCACTCAACTTCACTGCTTTTCTTCTTAAACTTTTTCGCGTCGAAATGAGACATCTGAACGGAATGAAAACTCGAGCGCGTCTGACACAATGAATAAAGTGTTTTTGGTCAACTTCCACGATTCCATTCATTCATTGAGGAAAGTGCGGCCTTCGGCTATAAATTGAGTGAGTAAGTGAAAAAGAAAGACACGAAATGAGATGGCAGATCAAAGAAGAATTTCTTACTCGGATTATTCTAATTGGGTTACATGGCAATTATGGAAGAATCGTTTTCGGATTATTATTGATCTTTAAATCGGCTTAAGTAGGTTTCATTACTTTCTCACGTAATTAACTCGATTTCTAATTTCAAATTTGTTCTGCTTGTAGAATTTCCACTGTAAGTGCGAAACGTGTTGGTCAGCGAGTCGAAAGTTGCCACGGGCAACGAGTGACCATAACTCGAATACTCAACATCCACATGATGTGAAGGGTGAACAAGTACGAGAAATTAATTAAATTAATTTCGAAATTTTAAATTTATAACTTATTTAACATGTAAAATAATTATAACATTACATAACTCTCTCTCTATCTGCTTGAGATATTAAATTAAGTAATTAAAATGTCAAATTGATCATAAATAAAACAAGCTGATCGTCTCATCGACGCATTTTCACGGATATCAAAATCAAATTAATATTTTTATTGACGAAATCGTATAAAAATAAAAACAAATCGAAGTCATAAAATCGAATGAAATAAATTATTTATTAAAAAAAATATGCTTAAGGAAAAAGTTTTAACAAATTTCTGGGTCGTTCACAAATGCTGTCAAGGTCGTTTACTCAATGTTTGACCGTTTGAGAAGAAATATTTGCCAAAAAGAAAGATGTACAATAATCACCACTTGCAATGATAATTGAAAATCAAATATTTGCAATGTTGACTGACGCCAAAAATGACGAAATGTTTGCATGACCATCACTTATGAAAATGTCAAACTTATCGTTTGAATATCAATAAGATTCAATACCAGTTGTCCCAACAGCTTTTTAATAATTGTTTTAAGACCAAGAAAATAATAATCTTCTAGATATTTGCATTTATTAAGCTGAAAGCTGAAGTTAAGTACCTAATAAAAGAAAAATGAGCATCATTTGAAGAATCTGACTTGCATTTTACGTTTGCGGAAGTTGCATTAAAGTTGTTAAATGTTGACTTTAAATATTATTTTCCCAGTGTGCATATTTACAAAGATAATTGTAAGAATGGAAATAATTTAATATTACGATTTTCCTCTTGAACTTCACTAAAATCTTTTTTCTTTATCATCATTCGAAAATCTCCCATCGAAAAGCACTGACACCGTCATTGAAATTTCCCATATCATTATTAAAATAACAACAGAGAGCGAAATCAAGTCGTTTTTTTCTTCTTCTCTTCAATTAAACCATTAACAAATGAAATGTTTTACCATTATTTGAAAGCACATCAGATCATCTCAACACAATCATGACACATTTTCCCAAGCACTTTTTCATACATCAGTGATTTAAATCGGCTGCTTTTATTGCCTTCTATGTGCGACGACTACAAAAACGTTATAAGTATTTCATCGTCTCTGCTGAATCAAGCGATGTTTGTTTTAACAAATATCACAAAGTCATTGCATGACGTCGAGAAGGTGAATCGCACTTGAGAAAATAAATTGACCAGATGGTGGAACTTTCTTGATTGTTCTCACGTTATCTGTTCCGTTCTCCAAATATTTGAAATATTTACAACATCATCATCATTTGATCACAGCAAAGTGTTTGGTGAATAATTTTGCAACTGGATACATTCCATAATAAAATTTTTTTAAAGTTCACCAAAACGTTTAGCTGAAGCAATCGCCGCAAAACTTCCCATACAAGGCTGAAGAGATCTAAAGTTCATCAATGATTTCAATGCCAAAAACATTTTCATAAGAACTCTATTTGCAAAACATCACAGGGCGCTTGAGTGTTGAGTTTAAAATGTAAATATTATTAATTGTTTTACAACTTGGTAAAGTCACGGCGAGCGATGTTTATGAGAAGATTGATGAACGAATTCCACTGCCTAAGTCCAAATCCAAATCTGAATAAAACAAGGCAAAATATTTATGTAAAATATGTTTTGTGTGCAGTGTTACAGATGAGAGAGAGCGCCATCGATAATCGTCATGATAAAGATCATAAATTTTCCTTAGTGCCGCAACAACATCACATGGTGGATTAATTTTATTATACATATTTTGTCATCAATTAGGAAGGAATCGAATGAATAATTATCGCACCCAACGATCGCTACTTAATAATCACAAACAGCAGCTATCCAACATCGTACCTTGCGGGGTGATCTCAGCAATTCTAAATTAATTAATCATCTCACATATGAAGGAAAATAAACATGTCGCTGTTGAGCGCGAACTACGCAGGGAAAAATTGGTCATTGAAATTTATTACAACGAGAAATGCCAAGTTTGCCACACCAAACAACACTGAAGCATTGTTTGTAAAAGATTGTGAGTCTGCCAAGCCATTTCCGTGGCGGAATAAATTTGTCACCCATTTTTAATCATAAAAATAAATAATTCATTCAAGTTTTTCACGTTATGCTAAAAAGAAGGTGAAAATTAAAGTCACAAACAAAACTGAAGAGAATTGAGATTGAGTCTCATTTACATTTCTTTCATACCAAATCGTTGCGATTGTCGTTTCGCTTGTGACACAAAATGAGAAGAAAAGAATAAAAAAATCTTATTATTGGTGGCATTAAATCGTCGAGGCAACACGAAAAAACGAAAGAAATATTGAAATTTAAGAGCCACACCAATAATTTTACTTCTTCGTCGTGTCGGGTGACTAATAGTTTGCGTTATTCAAAGACTTCGGGGCATCAGTTCGATGATCTGCTATTTCGTTTCGTGATATTTGATCACTTAAAAACAAAACAAAATTTCAGAAGTTTACTTCTTTGTAAAATACTTCTGTAAAGTGTTAAGTGAGCCACTCAACTACTTAAATACGAGAAAGCTTATCACAAAGAAATTCTTCTGTTTTTTCTCTCTCGACTTCCATGTTCTCATATTGAAGTATTCTTAAAAACTTCAAAGATTTCTTTCCCTCGAATTATCGAAGAAAAAAGCAACGAAATGAATCCAAGACACGAAAAGATTTATGAATGTTTCACACATGTAATTATTTTTTTCAGAGGTGCCACAAAGCTGATGCAGTGCGACTGAAATGTTAGCACAAAAATGCCAATTACCTAATAATTATTTATAAAAACAGTTTCAGGAACCTTTTCCTTTTATTTTTTTTTTGTTGATGTTTGAATACATTTTCTATGACTGATTTATTGAATTGAGTTTAAATAATCATTGTTTAAAAGCTTTTTTCCTATGTTTCGTGGGCTTGGATAACACAACACTGTCAAGCTACAAACAAGCATCAACCTAATTTAAAATTATGATTGTCTGTTGTTGAAACAAGATGAATAATGAACGAGACCGAAAAACTAAATGTGATATTAATAATTACAGATTACAAGCCTTACACGCCACAAACGATACGGTTTTGTTTTATTTAGATAGTTACATTCGGAGTACGTTACTTTATTGGAAACAAAAAACTGCATAAAATCACCATAAAGAATGATTATGCTAATGACGAGTTATGACTCGTTCAACATTCAATTCGAAGCTTTTACTCGACCATTTTCGCTTTCGTTAACGTCACGAAGTCATATCCTGTAAGCTGGGGGGCTTCAAAAGGCAAAGCGATTACTCTTCTTGTCAAACTTCTATTGATTCTCAAACAACCATCTGTGCTTCTGACTCTTTGTCTTACACATCATCACAAAAAAATGCCATTCACTAATAAAAAATTGTTCTTCTCATAAATTTTAATTAAATTCAATTTTTTATTCTCGTTCTCGACCGAAAGAAGCCTCAAGAAGGAAAAAGAAATAAAGAAGCGAAGATAAAGAGCAGGAATATTTATAATTTGAATATTTGTTATGTTGTTGACTAGAACGAGAGTTTCATTCAGTTATCAGAACGTTTCAGGCAAATAGAGTTTGAAGAATGTTTTGTTACATGCACTGGCAATCAGCAAAACACTTGTGTACACTTCTGCAGTTGCTTTCATAGTTGATGAATAAATAAGGAAATACCAATAAAGTTTGGATGCAACATAACTCAATGATTCACGGGACTTTTGCTAGTAATCCAATAACCCAACCCATGTCATGATTGAGAAGATTGTTCCACCTGTAAATATTATCCATGAAGCTTCCATTACTTCTAGAACAAAGCAAAATTAGCGTTTACCAGAGAGCAGGTAAAAAACAAATAAGAATTTGTAGACGGAAGACAAATATCGAAGAACAAATTTACGTAAGCAGTGACTCTACATATGAAAGAAACTTAATCCGATCTTGCGAGATATTTCAGCATTAAAAGTAATTTTTTTTTCTCTTTCTTTCTGTTGTTTCAGTTTCGAAGCTAAATAGAATCGTGTGTAGGAAGCTTTTGACTGCTTATGTATGAAAAAGTTTTATTTTTTCTCCACGATTCTCGTTTCTGTTTCATGAAAATTAATATTTCATCTCGTTTTGTGTCTGATCACTTTAGCTCTGATAGTCTCAGTTTTAATTTTCGGTTCAGTGTTTCAGAGCACAAAAAATAAAATAAAATAAAGAGTGAAACTTCATTTAAATTTAAAGTCCATGCGAGCATTAAAAATTAAGTCTTTGCCCATGAGCTTGACGGATCTCGATTCATTATTGCGTTGTTGTTCAAGTCGAAGTCACTCTTTAAGTGCTCGAAATGTAAATCATTTAAGAGAGTGAGGAAACGAGAAGAAGTTTTAATGATCAATTTAAGTCGACGATTGCACTCTGATGGAGATCAGCATTGATTGCGAAAAAGTCTGTGAGAAGCGCCAAGTTTTATTGCAAGGCATAAGAAAAGAAAAATCGATTCGTTTCATTCATAAAAGGTTTGGCCTTTGACAATCAGCATTGTCGGAACTTGCATTGTTACGCAATGTTATTGAACGGGATCATAAACGAAGTTGTGGTGTGACTTCGACTTTTTATAGCAGTCGCTTTTTTAAACTGATTATAACTCAATAGATATCTTCAGCTGCTTGTTCCATTTCACATAAATAAAGAAACAAGTTTTTGTTAATGTCCAATTTATCGACTTTAATGATTAATTGATTTAGAAAATTTAGCGTCTCCATTTCCTCAAAAATACCGAGTCGTTATCTGAATATAAAAATGAAATGATTTAGAAGCTGACTCGTCTGTTTCATAACTTGATGATCGGAATAGAGAATGGAGGAACAAAACGACAGACAACAGAAGAAAAAAAATGTTTATAATGAGCAGTCTTGTAATACACACCTCAGAAATTAGCCATAAATTTTCATCATCTCAATCTGTTGAACGAACGTCAACTTGCTGAAGAAGTGAAAGAAATTAAGTTTAATTTGAGCAATGCTACGAAGGAAACCCAAAAGAAGAAAGACTTTGAATTGCCATCGCATTGAATTGTATTATGGAAGTTTAGAAAATTGTCAGCTTTGCTGGCATTGGTCTTTGATTATTTCACTAACGAAGCAAAGTCTCTTACTTACTTAGATATTTTTAATGAACTGTTTTGTTACGCAATTCAACATTTCTCGCCTTTATCAGTTTAAATATTCATTTTCAACATTTCTTTAAACTTTAAGGAGACTTGCGAATATAATGCGATTGATTTAGTGGCAAGCGATAAAAATTGGAAATGAAAAACTGCTGTCGTCGCTTCATGGCGATTACATTACATTACTTTTTTCTCAACAGTCAACAGAAGTAGCTTGAAGACAAGTTTTTCTTTCTTTTCCGTGAAATAAGCGACTTAAATGACTTCAAGAAAGACACAAACGTGTATTCCTACTTATTCGAGCATTTAAATCTAGTTTTCTACCAAACGAATAAATCGATACACATTCATTTGAGAATTTTGCTTATGTAGTCGCGAAACGAACCAAAAACGACCTTCACAAGGCAACGGCAAAATATTTTTCACACAGATTAAGCGATTTTATTTGCTCGCATATTCGTATTCGATGAAATCAAAAACAAAACTTTTTTGCGAAAACATTTTTTGAATATTGAAAACATCTCGTTTTTGGCGAAGACGTCTGATGGTGAATTTTACTGACGCTGTAAACAGGAAAACGGCACGAAAAAATGCATAAATTTCCATCAATTTAATACCTCGCAATTTTTTCCCTGCTGCTTTTGCCGCTCTCTCACTTCAAGCAGACGAACACTTATACTTAATGAGTAGAATTATTTATGCACTCAATCAGAAAGGAAATTCTTATAAAAAGTTATTTAAAGGCTTCCAAAAAAAACTCCAATCACGATCAACTCGATGTCATCATAAGCTTTTCAATTAAGTGAATTTACATCTTTCATGATAATTCATGTTTTAATTGAAATTAAGCGACGTCGTCACTAAAATTACTTTGTAATTCGCTGAGCTCTAACAAGCGGCGACAACATTTTTTTTGTCGTTGCTCGATGACTTGTTGTCGTGTTCACATTCATTCGATTATTATTTGTATTCGTAAACTTAATTTTAAAAGCAAAAAAATTGTGAATTCCGATATGAAAAAGTTGATTGGAATGCAATAATAATTTATTGACATTTTTTGTGTTTATTTGTTTGAGTTTCTATTAATGCGAATGAGCAGCTATTAAGTGTATTGCAAATTCATTTAGCTACATGTAGTGACTTAATTAATTTGTCCCATTAACCGAATGAACTTCCAGATGAATAATCTTCAAAAGGAATTATTGGTAATAAACGTTCAAAACCTTTTTTGCTCATTTAAATTGCAAATCTACAAGCTACATAAATATCTTAAGCTGAAAAAATGATGAAAATATTGAACCTTAATGACACAATAAATGCATGTAATATACTACTACTACTACTACTCCATTCAAAAGGCAGCATTCCATCAAAATTTAATAACAATAATTAGAAATTTAACACTCATTCGTTCAATGATTGTTGAACATTCAAATTCAACGACGATCATAAATGTTTATTGAGTCAAGTTGAACTCGATCATTGACAATTTGATTTCACCACATCTTGAGTCTACCTCGGGGAAAAATTACTGTCCGTTCACTTCTTTTGATGTTGATGTTGATGAAATGGAAATCAACGATCAAAGTTGGTGATTTCGAGAGCGAGAACAGCCATTGAATATGAATGCGTAGGATCGCCCGCCGTAAGAAACCGCATTTCCATTGCCGCTATCGACATGAGCCATAAAAATGCAGCGCAGAGAACACACAAAATGGAAATATTTTAATTAAAAGTCTTTTAATTTGCCAAAGAATGCTTTTTTGTTTGAGATATTAACATTTAATGTGCACATGCATCTTGGAAGGTTTTCCTCTTTCATCTCGATTTGCTTAATATTCGCTTGATGTCAATTTTTATGGTTTCCTTTTGAGTTGTCTTTTCTTAACTCCCTTTCGTTTCCTTTGCCCTTCTCACTTTGTAAATTCCCATTGCATTGCCCCAGATGGATTTGCAGATTGAACTCAGTGGGAAAAAAGGAATGAAACAAGGAAGAAACAAATTATTAACAGCACAGTGGCTAGCATGAAATATTCCCAAAAATAAGAAATCTTTTCAAACGCACACGATTCGAAAGAAGATATAAAAATCGCTTTTTTTGCCTTCTTTTGCATTGCATTTTCATTTGCAAAGCGAAGACAAAAAAGAAAACCAACATAGCCATTAACTAATTTGTTAATGTACGCCGTAAAGAAAAAACGATTCTTTATGCCTTACGATAAAAAAAAAACTTTTATTATCCATCGAAGAACATCGCAGAAAAGTCCGAAGAAGGAAGACGACGATGCGATGGAAGAATAAATGACCTAAACGCAAAACGCATGATTTGAGTTTAAGAACAACAAAAAAAAAATGTGGAAAAAGACGAACGAAGATAATTTTAATAATTTGTTGTTATGCGGTTCTGTCTTGCGTCGTCCCGTTTTGTATATTTATAAGTAAGCAAAGATTTTTCTTTTTTGTTTCATCTTTTGATTGCAGTTTTTTTTTGTGTTCTTCTGCTCTGTTAGAGGCTTGCAATTTTAAAAAGTTATTATTCCCTCCCCGACTGTGATCTTCTTGTTGTGGCTTTGGGGAATGTTGCAACGATTAAGTCACAATTTCTCTAGAAAGTTCAATAAATTCAATAAAACTTTTATGAATGCAATAAAAAAAAAAAAGGTTGCAAAGCTTAAACGAATAATCATTCTTCTGATCTCGTTGGGAGACGATATTCTCAACGAGTGCATCATCATAATTAAGCGGCAGGCAAGCTAGGGAACAAGATAAAAGAAAGAGAAAGAGAGATGGAGATGTGGGTGTCCTTGAATCTGTTGCCTTTAAAAGGAAAGTCGTTTTACTCGACTTCGAAAGAATAAAAATCAAATAAGATCTTTAATGGATTCATTCTTTATGGAATGCAATTTCTTATGAGAAAAACCTTCGTGATTTTTATGAGTCGCGAGATGTAATTTTTTTAGGGAAAATAAAATCGTTGTTGATGCTGTTGTTGTAGACATTCGAACAAGGTGTGAAAAATCGATGAAGTTTCTCTTCACCTTCATCCGCTTCATGTCATCTCAGTGTAGCTTTTAATTTTTTTTTGGTTTTTTTGGAGCGAAATTTTATAACTTTTTGTTTCTTTTCACTTTTGAAGATTGCAAAACATTTTTTTTTTCGTTGAAACCACCGACGAATGCGGCACGTTGAATAATTTTTTAATGTACAATTTTTTTTCTTTTTCTTCCCCATTTTCAGCGTGCAAAACAATGCATGAAATGAATGGGAAGATTGCAATTCAGATGCATCATCAAACAATTTACTTACCTTAATAGCTTTTTTCGGTATTCCCTTATTCCCTTCTGCTTTTACTGCCTCCCCGTTCTTGTCTTATCGATTAATTTCTTTCAACTTGAAGGCTCTTTTGTTGTTGCTTTCATTCAGAGTGAAATTTTAAGAAGAAAATAAAAGGAGTCGAAAGAAGATATAAATAAAAATTCTTCTGCGTTCTGATTGAATTCGATAAAATGGTTTTTATTTCTGTAACTCGCGGGTTTCGTATTTTATTCGTTCATTGAAGTCTTTCTCTAACTTTTCGTTTTCGTCTTCATCCACACAGCTTAAACTATAATGAAAAGTTAGTCTTTTTTATTGATTAATAAAACTGTTCTTTTTATTTCTTTCGACCGGAGATTTCGGATCGATTGTGTGCATGGATAAGGCGATACGAGAAAATAGAAAGAGTCTCTTGAATATTATTTAAAAGCTGGCAAAGGCACCGAAGAATTTATTTGATTAATTGTCCATTAAATTAATATTAACATCGATTCGTAATTAATCACACATTCGGTGAAAATATCTCGATTTTTTTTTTTGTTTTATTGTCAGCTAAATATGTTGAAAGTTTTAAGTCTGCACAAATTAAAGTTATTTTTTATAATTTAGACACTCACAAATTATCATTGATTTCAAAAATGTTCATTTGTCGAGATATCTTCGAATTATCACACTTTTAATTTTCCTTTTTTTTCATTAATTGTTCATTCACAATCTGAAATGAGTTTTTATCACTGAAAGTTGGTTGCAAAACTTTTTCTTTTCACTATCAGAAGAATTTTTTAAACCTTTTTGCTTGTCTTAATTGAGAAATAAGCACACAACAATACACTGTCGATAATTTTTAATTTACATCGATCGGATGTAAAGCAGAAACCATTTAAAGTCGAAAGCACAGATGTGCGAGTTGTTGTTAAGCTTATTACGTTGACAGGTACTGGCTCGAATGTCAATGAATTCCCAAATTGCGTTGGTGTCGCTTCTCTAAAAAAAGTTTTTTTTTCTTTTATTCCTTTAATAAAGCAGTGAGTGGATTTTCTTTATTTTCAACCTTATTTATTTCACTGTTAACTTTGTGTTTAAGAAATAAATGAAGAAGGAAAGAAATAACTTCAGATCGTTGTTTATTGTTCGACTTGTTGTAAAACGTCCCTCATAAATTTTTCAATGCACTATTAAAAACATTTCAATTAAGCAAATTTATTTACAAATTAATTTCACGGTTTGTTTTATTGTCTGTTCCACAATAAAATGTCAAAATGTTTTATTTTTCTTTTTGTCTTCTTCGATGTATAAGAATCCAGATGATTGATTCTGCGAACAGTTTAATTGATCTTCAACGATTGCAATCACGAAAAATTCTCATAAATAACGAGAAATTGATTGCAACTCTTCTTTTCTCTTTCAATAAAAATTATTTTATTTCACCAAAGCGCGAATGAACAAACTTTTTTTATGTCTCACTCAACGAAGCTTAAAACACGTCCGTCTACGTTGCCGGTTGAACAGCTTGTAAAATTTCCAATAACAATTTTTTCTCAATCGTATGGCAACTCGCTCAACTCTTTCTCGATCAGTTTCTTCTCATTTCAAAATATTTTTCTTCATGCTTTTTTATTTATTTCTCATTCGATGCATGCGGCTCTGTGTTGGGGATTTGTTCTCTTTTTTTTAAGTTTCTTAACTCGCCTTTTGCCTTCTTTCATGGCTCTCTACTCGACGGATTATAAACAAGGGGTAAATCATCGTAGTGCTTCTGCCGGCTGCCTCCAAATGGTGCTTCAAAAAGCACTAGTGCTTCGTGCTTTTTATTTCTGTTAAATTTTTTTTTTTTAAATTATTTTTGGATTTTCAACGGTTCTGTGATTTTCGAGTCAAGGTCAGTTTAAATAAATAATAAAATTTTGTTGATAATAACGGTTTTGAAAATTTCAAATCATTTCATTCCCCTGTTATAATATTTCCGTACCCCTTATTTTTTGAAAGCACTGAAGAAACTACTAATGCTTCATGATGCTTTTAGTGCTTCGTAGTGCTTTTAATGCTTCGTAGTGCTTTTTAGTGCTTTTAGTGCTTTTCGACAAAATAGTGCTTTTGCCGGCCAATTTTTATCGATGATTTACCCCTTGATTATAAATTATGAATTGAGAGACATGTTTTTGCCTCCAAACACAATCGATGCTCTCGAACATCAATCAATTAACTTTTTTCNCGCCTTTTGCCTTCTTTCATGGCTCTCTACTCGACGGATTATAAATTATGAATTGAGAGACATGTTTTTGCCTCCAAACACAATCGATGCTCTCGAACATCAATCAATTAACTTTTTTCATTAAAAACATTCTTTCCTGAAATTGGATATTCTCGCATTGGACACTCGACAAAAAAAGTTAAAAAATAAAGTGAACGAAAATCGCTTTGGACCGTAAATCAGTTGCACATGATTGTACAGCAACTGCTAGCGTAATGTTGTGGGAAAATGTTGCAGGTTTTCTTTTTCCTCCTTGATTCGAGACCCATAAAACACCAAAAAGCACTAAAAAGTTATTTGAATATTGCTATGTAGAGGAAACCTGAACAAAAAAGTTATCTAAAGCCACGACCAGAGCGAGTCTTGTGCAGTTCTTTTCACTCGTTACAGCAACACTCTTGCACAACTTCTTGTGGCTGTGCTAACTCTTCAGAGATTATTTAAATGATTTTTTTTCTCTCCTTTCGTCTTCTAATTCTGCTTCTCGTTAAATAAAATTTGATTCGATTTGAGCTTTTGGAATGAACACATCTCATTTTCTCGCGGGGATAATTTCATGGAAGATGTTGTTTTGTTTCTTTTTTTCATTCTAAACATTCTCGTTGCCTTCGCGGTTATCGACAGTTAAATTTGATGATGCTCCGTTCTTCGTATTTAGTTTATTTGTCGACGTTTTATGTTTGTTCCTGTTTTGTCAATGACTTCACTGCTCTGTTTTGAAGGTTTCAAATCTTTTCTGAAAAACGTAAACATTTTGATAAAGTGGATGAGACATTTCTTGTTGTTTCTTTTTTGTGGACCTTTTTTAAAATAGTTCTTGGGTCTCTCTTTGTTCATGTCTCATTTCGGGGATGTTATCAATAATTTATGAAAGTAAGATTTAAGATTAAGGAAACAAACCACCATGTGAATGTCAGACAATTCTTCTTATTCTTGTTTCGGGATACATTTGAGAGTTCTGACGATGTTAATTAAAGATTCTTTCCATGATGCTAACAAAACTTTTTAAAGCTTTAAACATGCTAATTAATATGAAAATTTATTTTCATCGCCTAATTTCATGAGAATTTCACTTCCAAACCTTCACCATTCAACCGTGACAATATTGTGGATTAAATTTATGAGCAATTGGTCGTCATTGCATTAAATAAAAATAAAATAAAGCGAGTTGGGATGAAAGGAAACGAAAGAAATTCTTCCCAGTTCTCCCGCAGTTTCATTTCCAACGGAATGACAAATTAAAGCCGTAACTCGCTCAACTTAATTAAATCGGATAAAAACGCATAATAAAGTAGTTTGAGATGAAGTGAATGCGATCTTCCATTAGTTCATTTGTGTAGGTGGAATTTGTGTTTTTTATGAAGAATTTCTTTTCGTAACATGAGACGAAAGCATCGCGTGAAGGTCTTAAAACGAAATCAAAATTCTCGAGATAAAAATCAATTATGTCCCGGTGATCTCTCACATTTAAAAAGAGGAAAGATCGATTTGTTATAAGATTTCATTTATATAAGAATTGAATAAATTCCAATAAATCCCCAGGCGAACTAGTCAAGTTGCTTGATCGTTCTTCTCAAGGACGCAAATATCTGTGCCATCATCTTGACTAGAATTCAGGCGTTACAGACGGACACTCCTAGTCTATGCCGTAATAAATCCTATTAGTTCTATAACAAAAGGCTCTTACAGTTCAATGGAGTGAATAGCATTGAAGTGTTTTGATTACGGTTTGATTTATATAATGAGAGAAAAGTGTTCGGAAATCAAACGAAACAAAAATTAAGAAATAAAAAAAATATTTCATGTGGCTTTTGATGAGAACACGAAGTTGGATAGAAGAATCGACTAGAACCAGAATTAGAGTGAACATGAGAAGGTGATTTAAACGTTTGCCTTTGCAACACACACACAAGTTGTACGAAATAGGATTAAGGAAAAAAAGAAAGGAGAAGAATTGATAAATGTTGGAATTAACACTTTTCAGCTCTCTCTCTCGATTGCCCATTTATTTTATTTCTCTATTTATCAGTTCGTTGTCTTCGTCATCTTCTTTTTCTCAATCATTCACACACTTCAGTCTTCACGTCGCGTCATGTTCGAATTAAACGAAAAGGTTCATCAAAAACATGTACCAACTGGTGATGTTCATTGTTAACTCATCATTAAAGTGGAAGAAATGCGATTCTCTTCTCGATTTGTGATGGAAATGAGTTGGAGTTGTGGAGGGAAAGCAGCGAAGTCGAAATCGGACGATCAAGAACCTCAATAAAATCCTAATTTCTCATCTTCAGTTTCGTCAATTCCCGTTCAAAGTCATAAATTTTATTTTAACAAATTTGTTTAAATCTTCATTGAAGATTTGTTCGTCACTCTTTGTTGTCTTCCTCGTTCTAATTTAAGCTGAAAAGCAACGTTTCAGTGTTTATGATTGTGGTTTCGTTGACTTTTATGAAAGTTATTTATAAATATGCAAGAAAACCAGAAACGAGGAATCAATAAAAATATCACCAAACCAAACCTTGATATCTTAACAAAAATTCTAGATAAACATAAAGAAGCTCAAATAACTTCGGGTTAAGTTGAAGCTGCAGCTCAAGCTTCAAATTTATTCGACAGATCTTTAAAAATCTTGATTTAAATATTTGGATAAATTTGTCTCTTAATTATGTCACAAAAATATTTCGATTTTAGGAAAACAAAGACCTGCATTGATTGTCGGGTTCGAAGTATAAAAAGAACTTTAAAGGGGAACGTTTGTCAACTTCGTTTATTGTTTCAACATGAAACGATATCAAAAGGTCTTCACAAAATTCAAGAAACATTGTTGAGAGTTTATTCGATTCTCAAAGCACGAGACGCAGCGATGAAAAATTGTTTGGCAATTGATTAGATGTGGCTTAGGGGAATCCATGCGAGGAATGTAATTTTTCAATCGAAAATCTTTCGTCTCACAGACAATTTTTCTTTTGATTGAGAAGCAAAGATTATCTTGAAAAGTTCAAAAAGTCAAGTTTTAAAAATTCTGAAAAATTGCCGAGAATTTCATGAATATCTAAGAAATGTTTTATTGACTGTTTTTCAACCATACAAATTGTGTTTTTTTTTCTTTGTTACCTCATCCCTGATTTCTATTACATCATGTTCTAATTCTAACATTTTTTTTCGAATAAATTGCTGGGATAAATCAATTCAACTAAGAGTACAGTTAGTTTCCCAAAATGTGCAACTTCAAACCTCAATTTCTCTTTCCTTTCTTCTTTTCTTTCAAATAGTCATTAATCTTATCAAACAATTTCATGTTTAAATACTAATCGACTTTAGGCATTACGATACGAACGAACATTATTCAATTAACCAACGCTCAGAGCTCGAACTGTAGATGAAGAGAGTTAGTAATGCTCAATGTCAAGATTTATGACGTGAAAATCAAAAACTTGTAATCATAAACATCTTTGGCACCTTGGAGCTAATCGTGAAGCTCGTGAAATGATCACCAACTGTGACTGAGCAGAAACACTTACGTTTGAAATTCAATATCATGATGATGGCTTTTTTTCATCTCTTTATTTAATATTTTTTTTGTGTTTTGTAGGGCATCGACAGCAGATGAATCGAGATGTATAATAGTGGACTAAAAAATGTGTTGAATTAAGGGGAGGGAAACTCAAGAAAATTTCTCGACTCTCGATAAATTAAATTCCTTTGAAAATTCTTTACAATTTCATGTCAGTCTTTGATTACAAAAATCTTCATCAAGCTCCAATGTTTCTACCCCTCAAATACTTGCATCAGAACAGAACTTTTAAATGAAATCAAACAGAGAGAAAACGAACTGAAACTAAAACATCATTTTCATAATTTGATTACGAAAGAAAAACGAGAATTCTTTGTATTTACATCATAATTTCAGTAAAAGAAAGAATAAAAGAATACAATTTCTTAGATGACAGTGCAAGAATGCTTCGAAGTTCAAACGAACATTCACATTCATTTAAGCAACAAAAAAAAAAGAAGTTTAAAACATTTTTATAATAAAACTTTTCCATGTTTCAGAAATTAAAATAACGGTGATCGGGTGAGCAGCAAGTTGAAGCTTTTCTTTCTTTTTTTTTGGTGTCGTTTGCTTCTAAATCCTTTCAATTTATGTATTTCTATTGTGTAACAATTTGTTCATGAAAAGTTTGATCATGAAATGTAATTTGATTCTTTCTTTCTTCTAGGTAGGTACTTTTCTTACTTACAATTTAAAGATAGGATTATTGTGCTAGGTTTTTAGCTATGTATAAATAGCAAGTGATGTAGTCAGGAGAATGATTATTAATTAAAAATCTGAATTGGACGAATTAAAATGTAAAAGTCAATGGAAGACCATTCAAAAGTCTCTTAAAGTCGTCTCATCTCCTGAATACCTCACCGGATTGTGTGCTTCTTAAAAACTGACAAGAACAAAAAAAATATAAAAATTCATTTGCTTCTTAAATTAAATAATAATAAAAGCATCTTCTCTGGTGGACTCTTTTAAAGGTTGTTGAAAAAAAGAAATAAAAAAAACTTAAAATTAAATTCGAAAAAAATTTATCGCAGCCTGAAGGTCCGGCAAAAAAAAAACGAAGAAAGAAGGAGAAAAATAAGCAACGCAACACGAGAATCCATCTGCATTAAAATACTTATGACTTCGATGATCGTTCTTCATTCCATCACCTTTGTACAGATTAATTAAATATTAAAACCGCCCCAAGTCTCTCGTCCCAACCCTTCTCTGATGGATTCTCATGAAGAAACCTTCAGATGAACTTGAACTCAACATTTTTTCTTTTTCTTTTTGGATTAGTAACATTTTTGATTAGATCATGATGATTTCTCATGCATTTTTGATTCTCAATTTCTCGCTAATGAAACGAAGAAATTTCATTAAATTTATTTTATGTTTTTGGGCTCGCAAATCAATCTCCTTAAAGTCTGACTTTCAATGATTCCATTCTGCCTTGAATTCGTTTCCGAAGCTCAGAGTATCTATGTTGAGAAGCGAAAATTAATAAAAAAAATGATGGAAATTAATTTCAATGCTTACTTCTCACGAATTCTATAAAGTTCGCGTTCTTCTTCCTCGTAGTATCGTTCGATGATGGCACGACACTCAGGAATTGATAGATTGAGAAATTGTGCAACTTCCGAACTATTGAAGTAGAAAATAATTGAAAATCGAGTGCAATTAAGTCGAGATTCGTTTCTCTTACCTGATTTCTTGAGCCTCTTGAGCATCCATCAAGAAAAGTCGCGCTACGTCTTCGTGCGGTCCCATCAACACTCTCGTCAACAATGGATAATCTTCATTACTCAACTTCTTCTGTTCGCCGTTGTCTCTGACAATGAAAAGTGCAAAATTCTCTGCTTTCGATTCAACTCTGTATTTGTCCATGACGAGACTGATGATTTCCTGTGTGCTGAGCAATGACGTTGCATAAACACTCATTTGCGAGCCGGTAGGTGGTGTAAAGAATGACGTTTCACGATTATAGAAGTGACCATTAATTGAGCATCGACGCTTGAGTTTTGTCCGTGATCTGAGCGGAGAAAATGATTCAAATTTGTTTAATAAATTCAGAGATCAACAATAAGTTTGAAAGAATAATTAAAGTAACGCAAATAAAGTCGATGAAAGTTTCAATCTCTGAATTCAGTTGATTGAACCTTGAAATAAATTTAAATTCGCCTCAACAATGAACTTCTAATTGTAACTCACCTTCGATTTCCTGAACGACGCTTTATTGCCGTCGATCCTTTCTGTTTCTTCCGTAAGACGACATTGTCGGTTCCGTCGTCATCAATCGGCGTCGTTACAGTTGAAGCTGATCCCGATGATCCATTTAAAATCTCGACTTTGATATCATCATAACAATCCATCTTGATATTAATTGAAGTTGCTGGTCGTCCAGAAGGCTTCACCGTGTCACTCTCAAAATCAATTAAAGCATGATTCGGTCCCGATTTCGACCTTGCAATTCCTTTCTCCGAACTCCAACTGCCATCGTCTGGTGACGAAATCGATTTCTTCAACATTTTATTGCTCTCATGTCTGAGAGTTTTATCGTCTGATGATGACGACGATGACGAATGCTTCAAGAGATTTAAAGTGTCTTGAATGTTGAATGAGTTAATTTGCCCCGGGATGCAGAAGCTGTTAGACAATGAATAAGCGCTGAGACCATCTTCACTTTGCATACTTTTGCTCATAATATTTTCTTGATAAAGTTTAAGCGAATCATTGATTCTCGATGGATCAATCGGTTGATTGAACTTCAAAGTTCCATCATTGACTTTTGGCATTTCATTGGTTCCGTTGACAAAATCTTCACTCATTTGTCGTTTAAAGTCTTCAAAGTCACATGGCTTAAGTGTTGGAGTGTCTTCGTCATCATGGCACTTGTCGTTGCTTGAATCCAACTGCGAGTAGTAAATACTCGATGATTGTGATGTTGATTCGCCACCATCTGGCGATAATGTCTTGAAACTTGCAGTGTCTGTATCCAAACTAACATTAGAAATTTGACTGTCGGTCATACTTGATGACAGCGACAAAGGCATTGTTGAGTATCTTTGATCATCTTCTCTACGCTCAACTTGAAGTAAATCGTCAATCTCATCCCATTCGATCTTCTTCACATCAAGTTTCGATGGTAAAGTGTTGCTGATGTGAGCTGGTGACGACTCCTTCGATGAACTATTACTATTCGAACTAAGAGAATTGATTTCTGATGAAATGCTGATGGTATCATAGGAAAGAGATTCTGAGACTGTCGTTTCATTGTCACTTGCTGCAACAGCTTGATCCGAGCCGATTGTACTTTCGCGAATCTTTTATAAAGAAAACATTTGAATAAAAAGTTTAATTAACGATATTAATGCTTACAATGTCAACAGAATTTGGATAACGAACTGAATATCGTTTACGAATTGTCACAACTGTCCTTTGGTCATCGTCCTCTTTAAGATGAATCACGCCTTGAATGCCCCAATAGATTCTCAACGCGCCTTCAAGGATGAGTTTTCCATTGACATCACGTGCCTTAACTTCTAAGCTTTTATTGTTATAAAATTGATTGTAAACTTTGAGCTTGTTTTCGAGCTGCGTTCGAGGTATCGTCGGACCTGGTGAACTTTTAGGGGGAGGATTTATTTTCTGACCATAACTCTTATGGGATTCAACTCGGGTGCCATGTCCAAAGAGTTGAGGACCAAAAAGAGCTCCATAACACGGCACATGGCAATATGGCACCTGAAATGAAATTTTATGACTCACTTCAACTGTTTTTTCATAGAAACTTGTCTTACGCCTTTGTGTTCGGCATGTTGCCCGGGACTTAATCGTTTTCCACATTCATGACAACGTAAACATTCTGGATGCCAGTCAAAACCTAAAGATTGTTGGCGCTCAGCTAAAATTATGAAATGAATAAAAAAATATGAAATTAATGTCAAAACTTGTTAATGAGGTTGGGTTAAAAATGCATTTAAAATATCAAGCGTACCGAAATATACTGGCTTTTGGCATTTATTACACTTCCACATTACTTCTTATCTGCTTTTATTTAATTGTGAAATTTTCAAAACAAAGAAATTTTTTCTGACAAAACTAAATCCAATTAATTCCTGATTAATTAACTTAAATAACAACAATTCACTACTTTTGTTCGATAAGAAATCATGTTTATTATGGCGTCAATCACATTTGTAGCACTACATAATAGTATTTGGGTGAAAATTGATAATAAATCAATCCAAGTATTGATGTTGAATTGAAAGAGAGAACTGATTTTATTGTACAACTCTCCGTCAGTGATGTAACCCTCGAATATAAACTTCAATTTTTATCAATCATCTGCGAAAGCTGAATGGAAACTTAATTAAATTTACTCATAAAGTATTAAATAATATATGGAATATTCTAAAATGAGCTGACATTCAGAAAGTAATGGAATAATAAAAATATTATTTAAATTAGACGTCATTTAAATACTGTTACACAAATTTTGAATTTTCAATCAACCGTTGAAAAAAAGAAGTATGAATGTGTTTGTGAGTTTTTCAATCTATTGCAAATTATTCAAGTAAACAAAAGTATTTGAAGAGAAAGTCACTGATGTTGACCGAAAGTTAAATTAAGGTCGACAAATTTAGCACTTTAATATTGAAAATAAATGATTGAAGATTTTTTTGATGAGAATAAGAGTTAACAAGAATTTTGTGAAGTGTTTCAAACCCTTACAAATGTTTCACGCATCTAAGCATTTGTAGTGCTCTTACGTGGAGTGTAAAAAGTTCCTCAGTTGTGAACAAAACTCTTTCGTGAACAGATCTAAAATTGAGTTTTTTATTGTGTAACAACAAAAAAAAGCAAGAGAAAAAATCAATTCGGGTTTAATTGTGTATTTTTACTCTAATATTTTTATTTTTTGAATCATGTACACGATATCAAAGGCTCCAAGCAAGTTAGTAGCAACAAAAACACGTCGAGGTAAAAGTGAAATGAAATTTAAATTAAGTGTTTCGAGAATTTTCTAATATTTTCATCCGGTTCTCCAGGACTCCCACAAAATTTTGAAAAAATCGAGACAATACGTGAATTAAGCAAGAAAAGTGCCAGTGATAACAATAATGATTTCAGGTGAGATCTATTAGTGATTGCATAGTCATTATTTTTACATTCGTCTCACATTTCGCTTAGTTTCTAAGCCATAAAATTTTGTTTGAAATCGTTACTTAATCACAAAATTAATTACCGCGTGATTTAGCTGAAATGAAAACCAGTTCTCAAATGTCTATTGAACTCGTGTTTCTTAAAGCTTTCCGCAAACATTAAGACCTTTAACAAAAAGTAGACCAAAAGGGAAGAATAATCAATACAATCAACTCCCACACCGCTATAATGTGGCGATTATGCAACGAAAAAAAAATTTTTGGTTTGAGAAAAAGAGAGGGAGAGAGAATTCTCTTTCCTTGTGTATTGTAAAGATGGGAAATGAGTGAAAATTTGGGAAATCTACCGGCAGATGTGCGTAAAAATCTTTTCTTATTCGACTTTCACATCATGTGACGACATTTAAAAGATTTTAAGTTTGAAAACAAAAAAAAGAAATTGGAAATTTTTTAATGTTTATTTTTCTACTCTAAATTGTGAAAGACGCAAATAGTGAATTAAATTTAAATGTGAAAGATTTTTGAATAATATATATAGCGACCTTGAAAAAGTTACTTAAAGAAATATTGACGTTTTGTTTATTTCTTCATGCGGTTATGAATTAGCAGGTTTAAGTATTTAATTATACTTTTTGGCTTTTTTCCGATATTTCATAAGAACGTTCATATATTTCAAGTCATTTATGTCAAAGAAGAACATACCTATGCAGATAAGTAAATATTTCAAAAACCAATCCTCGTCTGTTCCTCTTTGAACTCAACTTTCTCGTGTTCTTTAATTATCTAGAATTTTCCGTAGCAGACACAAAAATGCGTTTCTTTTAAAAACGTTGGTAGCAGTTACGAAGGAAAAGAAGAAAACATTTGTTGTTTTGTTTTCTTCATGAGTTTGTAAAATTTTCCACGCGCTCTAGCGAGAGGTCGACACATTTTTTTTCTCATTTGTCCATCAAGCAATGAGGTTTCAATTTTCTCAGATAATTTTATTGAATGAAACTTGATCTGAAAAATATTTGCTGATGAAAACACTTCAAACATCACTTTCAAATGTCGTCACTAAAGTGAATACAAAATTCAATTTCCTGCATAAATATTATGTACATATTTACATATTTCATTCTTGAAAGACAAATATAACAAGTCTGTGCCCCATGCCAACAATTTCTCATGTTTTCTTCACATCTCTCCTTATTCTTCTCAAATTTCAAAGAAACAAGACTGACTGATAAGAAGAGACGTCAGAAAAAATATTTTGCCGAGCATTTTACACAACCAAACTCAATCTTCATTTCTTGACTTGTTTTATGACGATTTTAAAAAAATAAATTTTGTTTAGCAACAACAACAAAGTCAGTCAAATTTTAATCAAATTTTGATTCGTCCGATAGAAATCCTTGAGAAACCCGTTTCGATAGACGAAAGTTGTTGACTCTTAAATGCGTTTTCTTTTTCTTATCTAGGTATCTCTCTTTTGTTTGTAAATTCATTTCAAGTCTTTTCAAAGTCAGAGAACGTGTAAATTGAAAAAGCAAAGCAATAAATTTAGTTTTTTTATTTTCATATTTTATTGCATTGTTTTAGTACATAAGAAAGTTAATTGAATGCCCAAATTCTTTTTTCAGTGTACCTAAACCAGTTTTTCAAACATCAAGAAAGTCACATAACTACCTAAAGTCTCATCATCATCACCACCAGCACCAAGAATCGCTTAGCCCGCAGCACGAAGAACTTGCACGATTCATGAACGATTGTAAGTGATTTTATTATTTATTTATTATTAATTAATCTGTTAATGATTGATCGTAGCTGTAAGTTTTTGATTAACTTGCTCTCATTTTAAATTACGAATTACAAATTCTGGTTTATTGACTTTAAAATGAAAATCTAATCCTAATCTCGCAAGAGGCATTTCCTTCCATTTTTTATCAATAACACCAAGTGATAAGAACATCGAGACGTTTATATCTTTATTTACGGTGCAAATGAAAATCAGAAAAATAAATTGAGTTCAATTTACGTGATGAGTGGAAAAATAGTTTCATGAAATCGCTTTTGCTAATATTTTTGAACAGATAAGAACCATCGTAAGTTATATTAAATTAACTCATTAGACATTATACAGTGCACGACATTTTCGACAACATATGTCTACATAAATATTTAATAAATAAAACTTCACATCTACACACGTTTTATTTAGCCAACTGCGCTTTATATGTGAAAAAGAATTCGTTTATTTGATCTCACGACATCTATTTGATATTTTTGTGTTTATGTGCGATGACTTGTTCAAGTCATGTGACAAGCCCCCGAAAACTCACGAAATTTCAGTCTTTAATTCCGCAGAGAAACGTGTACAGTTGATGTTCCGTTTTACAAGATAACAAGAAAAAGAAACTTTATCAATAACATTCCACTGTTCACTCAGTATTCAGAGATAAAATGTTGATGTAAAAAGTAACCTCGAATCGTAGCTTAATCATCAAAATAGAAAAAAATTCTGTTTTTATTTTTCAATTTTTGTCGACTGCTTGTTTGGATGAAAATTAAACGAATCGAAGTAATGACGTCGAAATAGAAACTCAAGGAGTTCATTAATTATTAATCTTCTTACTCCCACGTATTTAAATTCAAGGGGGGACAAACACACACACACACACATCTATTAATTTTATTAACTTTCGTAGAAATGTCAGGGATGATCTTAATTAAGAAAGTTTTTCAACATTTGCTTTAAGGTCAATTTTCATGGATTTGTGATGGATGAAAAGATCCAATTTGCATGATTTATTTGATAAAATTTCATGGGCAATTTTAAGTTGCTTAAATGTTACAATAATTTGTCAAATCACGCGATTTCGATTCATTTTCACGTGAATGACGATAAAGAAAAAGAAATTAATTGGCAATCGTTAAATCTTAAAGCAAACATTTTTTGCTTAAAATAAAATTAGTAATTTTGTATTTTTAGATCTTTCAAAATTATTTTCTTCTACAATAAAAGTGTTCGTTGACATATTTGACGACTAAACATTTCACAAGATTTCTTTATTACGCGGAAAAATGCGTAATGAGAGTAAATGTGACAATTGAAGAAGAAATAATGATGAACAGTTTGAGAACAACATTTCCTGATTTGTGACAATTCTTTTCTTCTTATCTTCCACAGCATGGAAAATGGTGATAGCAGAAAACCCTTACGATGCTCCTGATTCACCAGACTCAAGTAAGTATTAAAGGCGAGCAGTGAAATAGAAAAAATTGTGAAAAATCGATGAATTTCAGGCTCAACTTGCTCCCTTTCATCGTCAACATCATCGTCGAGTTCTTACAGCTATTATGTTGATCAACCAAGTCCTCTTCAGGATTTCAAGCCATTCGATCTCGAGTCATGGTGGGGACGTCGTTTATATCAAAACATCACAAAGAGTCTGTAAATTTGCAACAAAATGTGTGTTGAAGCAAGAAACATGAGTGAAATTAATTGATGATCATCTCTTGATATCACTAAATTCTTTTTAAAAGCAACTCATAAGAGAAACGTGGAGTTTTCCTTTTATACAAAAGTCTGATAGGTGAATAGTGCTAATGCAAATAATTTAGAAAATATTAATTGTTAAGAACGGAAAATGTTTCATTCACAAAAAGCAAAAAGAAAGAAATCGTTAATGAGTTCTTGATAACTTTTATTGTTTTTCTTTTCGAAGTTAAATTACCTAAATCTTCAGCTAAAATTTTCTCTCCGAAATATCCAAAAATAAGACGAATTAAAGCGTTGATTCCTGGCCTCAATAAGTTAACATTTCCTTGTCTTCAATACAACATGAACTCAGCGCATTATTCACTCAGGTTCAACTGCAATGATATTAAATACGAATCGTAACAAATTGCACAAATTTTTCATTTTCTGACTAACAAAATTTGCAACAAACTTAAATCGTGATGAAAAACGAGTCTTTTAGTAGTTTTCATTATGTTACTGAAAGCTTTTCATCTCATTTAAATGAAATTCGATCCGAAAGGTAGAAACAACGTTGTGATTTGAGTGGAATGAACGAGAGAGAAATGAAATTGATATTCATGTCGACAAGCGCTTATCTTTTAAATCTTCTAATATATTTAAAACAGCTGGAACATGAGGAAATTTATAGAACAATTGTTGGTTATTAATTTCCTTAAAATATGTAACGATGTTGAGCTGAGCGAGAGATGATTGAGGTTTCTGTTCAAACCAAAAGAAAACTAAATAAAAAACTTTTCTAGAAAAATTTAATTGAATTGATTTTTATTTTATTGAAACGCTTTCAGATTTTTATACTTTTCAAGATCGTTTTTTACTGCATGCTGCGACGCATATTTACGCATTCTGTGAACAGTAAAACTTAAAAAAGGCAGATGCAAACAATTTTAAAGTCGTAAATGTTGACATTCATCATAATGAAAGAGTTTAACTCATTTACATATTTTCAAAGTTCAACAGATGATTATCAAAGTAGCAACAACGAAAAGTTTACTCAGCGATCATAGACATGTTGTTGGTATGATTATTTAACAATTTCTAGATTTAATTTAAGTTATTTCTTTTTACCCGACATGTGTCATCTTTAAGAAAATTTCTTGTGCTAATGGAAGATTTTAAACTTTGAATTTTAAAGTGAAAAGTTTTGAAGCATTTCAGAAGCATTTCAGAAGTATTTAACATCATAAAAGTGACACTTTGGAAACTTCATAAGCATTACAAAGTTTTCATTTCAGAATAATTTTTTACCTACTTTTCTCTTGCACATTAAAAACATAAAATATTGACATTTGTCTATATTGGAAAGAAAACTTCTTTCATTGCTGAAATTCTGAAAGCAACTTAAGATAAAAATAATTAAATTTACAAACCTCCTTGAAAGTGTAGTTTCGCATATTTAAACGACTGCAATTGAAGATTGAAGGAAATAAAATTTAGCGAGTTATTCTTCCAAGCTTTGTTTGTTTAAAAAGTTATTGCTTTCGGTTGCAGAGATTGGAAGCGGAAGTCATAATTTTTAAAAAGCAGAAGCGAAAACGGAAGATAAAGTTGGAAAATCTTTAAGTTTCTTACCCCTAACCAGTAGTCAGTATCAAATTCTTCAGATTATCACTACGAATTCCATAAAACTAAGTTAAGCATCTTCCTGCTTGCCATCGATTGAGTAAGTCCAATACTTATCACCATAATTCTACTGAGTAGATTAACAATTCCGGTTAATTGATTTATTGACATAAAATTGATTAGAAAAAAAACTTTGAAGATCGCTGGTAGAAATGAATTCAAATTTCTTTAATATTTTTCAAATTTTACTTTGTTAATTAAAACCATTAAATAAATTCAAAGCTTTTTGATAAAATTTAATTAAATTGAAAATCTTAATCAGAATAATCCATTGTATCGCCATTGTCTTTACTAAAATCTTCTTTTGCTTTCTCTTCTTCATCTTCAAACTCATCAAAAATGTCTTCATCTGATGAGTTGCTTTCGACATCCATATTGTTGGAATCATCATCTGAAATTGATAAATTTTTCATGTTTCCCTCTGAATTTGAATTAAAATGCAAATTCTTTTGATACTCACCAGAATCTTCGTAAACTAACAAGTTTTCATGTCGTATTTCATCTTCCGGATCACAATTTTGTTTCATTTGACTTACGAGAAGTTCTAAGCGTCCTTTCAATCTTGCGAGCATTGGAAGACTTTGAGTACGTTGATCGATGATTCCCAACAAAGGTCCAAATGTTGCATTCAAATTATCAGCGCCATAAGACAACAAACTACTTGCATGAATTTGAATTAAATTTCGGAGCCACACCAAAGCAATTTCTGATGATGAACTTCGTCCGCTCATAAGCTTCGACAACTCATCAACCAAAGGCATCACATACTGTGATGGAAGAAATTTCACTGTCAACTTAACAGTTTCATTATCATTTTGTCGCAGAATATTCCGAATTACATTTGCATCACGAGCTTGCAATCCTTGGATGAGTTGATGAGTCATTTTCTTTGCATTTGGACGTTTGCTTTCTCCACCCGCTAAATTATCCAATCTTGTTTCTAGTGGCAACTCCACAGGCTTTTGAACTCTTTTCGTGGCACTTACAGATGACAAAATTTCAGCATTTTTATCCGTAAGTGGCGTTACAGTGTTCAAATCTTCATCAAGCTCTCCCTTTTTGTTCTTTTTCTTCACATCCATTTTCATTGGATCTTTACGAACAAGAATGACGGATTTATCAGATTGTTTGCTTGAAATCGTTTCAAACTTCATTATCATATCGCCATATCCGATGAGAAGCTCATTACGAACAATCAGCACAGCATTGATTGGTACGTGATCGACTTCATCATTATCAGCGTCGCTTGCAATTTCGAGCATGAATTTTTGTTTGATTGGTTTTTTGCTTTTTACATTTTGTAAGTTTGTGTCAAAGAACATCATAGAGTCTGATCGACAAATGCAAGCAATTTGAAGTCTATCTTCAGTTAATTGAAAGTTCACGCAATTGGGAGAACCAATAAGAAGTGTGAAAGTTGAAGTGGCGCTCGTGTTATTGTCATCGCTGAGTTTCCATAGAGATAAATGTCGGTCAGACTTCGACGCACTGAGTATAAATGTTTCATCATCATACTCGAAAGATTTAAGAGTTGTGACGTTCTTGGAATGACCGATAAAATTTTGAATAAGCTTTGAATCTTCCCATACTTTGATGCCTTTTGAAGCGGTTGCGATTTTATCGCCATTTTCAAGAACACAAATTGCTGTCGGCTTTTCTGGACCACAATTAAAATAAGATTCTTGTGAAGAAGTTTGAATATTCCATTTGATAACTTTTCCGTCGGAACCACAACTGTAAACATATTGGGAGTTGTCGTGATCAATTGACGTGACAGTTCCTAAATGTCCTTCACCTTTGAATGATGCTTCGATCTAAACTTAAATCTTATTAATATTTATTATAAATTTATGAAAATACATACTTTAGCAGAAGCATACGAGAATAAAGCAAGTCCTCCTCTATTAGTTCCTAAAATGATGTACAAACTTCCACCGGCATCTGAATGTCTAGATTTTCTCTGCAATTATAAATTTAAATCAAAATAAGAAACTTCAAAGAAGATGATTAACTCAGACCTTTTCATGATCAAGGTTCAATCGAATCCATTTCATTGCAGTTACAGGTGTTGATAAATGAAGATTCGGTACATATTCTTGTTTCAGTTGATTTGTTTCAACATCCCAAATTTTCAACTTTCCCTCGTTTTGAATTATTGCGAAAAGTTTTTCATCCGGCGAAAACTCTTTTAAATGATTATCTTCCATTTTGGTGTGTCCAACGATTTCTACTTATTTTAGGTAATTTTTTACACTCAGGATTATACGAGACAGTGAGATTTTTCAAATTAAAAAGATTTCTACTTATTCTTGATTTTATCCTATTCACTTTATTTCTATTTTTCAACAAATGTTCACGTTTTTTCGAATGTTTTGTTTTCAACATGTGAGTTTGTTTACTGAATACACGGTCATAACATGCGAAATTGTTTTACTAAACACACCAAACTTTTAAAAAAGTGCGTCAAAAGCCGTTAAATTTTCTTATAAAATACTGAACATAAAAATTATTTCATTGTTGCATTAAACAAGTATTTTTCTGCCATGCATATGTATGAAGAACACGAACTCCCCTACATTGTTTCATAAATGTGCATGGGATTAGAAAAGTTAAACACAGTTAACTGCAATTTTATGCATGACCACGCTGTAGCGTTTCATATTTATATGATTGATGAAGCTTGTGGCTTTGAAAGACTCTCCTTACTCTTCTGAACATGATTCAATTTGATTACACTTTTTCTTCTTTTGATGTCATATTTGTTATCCTTTGATAAAAAAACGTGACAAGAATTAACTTCCATTAAAAGTTGAAATCTGAACGATGGAAAAAATCTTAAAATCTGACGCTTCATTATACAAAAGCACGCTGTGTTATGATGATAGACATTAAAATGAGAAAGGTTGAAAAGTCAGAGAAAAAAAATCTCACAACACAATCAAATAAAAAAGGAAAACACAAATTTGTGTTAGATATCAAAAGCTTTTTGTTTCCCTTAAATAAACAAATTCTAAACTGTAAATTATATCAAGAAACTTTACATGCAGTTCAATCCTATCAATCATCTTTTTACCATTTTGATGCAAATCCTTTTATGTCTCGACAAATGCAATGCTAATATTTGAGATTCATATCTATAGCATGCAGTTGATCAACGTCCATATGACAATGAGAATTCTTTTTTAGGTTTTCATAAAAACATTAAAAATTTTGTTTGAATTTATTCTGATCTAGAGGGAAGTGAATTTAGAACGTATACGAATATCCGTGCATATTTATAAAAAAACACATGAAGCTAACGAAAACATGTTGTGTGATAAAAAAAAGTTGTGTTTTGTGCAAATGACAGTCAACATGAATGACTTTTTCCCAGCCTTTTTTTCGAGATAAATTAATCGAAAAAAGCGTCGAATATATTGTGTTAGTCAAATTTATTGGAAGAAAGAGAGAGAATCCAATTCAATCAACCTTAATCGTATGAATGCTGATCCTAATGGAGTTCATGTCTTTCATGTGGTTCAATGAATCGAAATTTCATGAGTGACTTGTCAAAAAAAAAATGTTTTCAGTGAAATTGTGGAATTCGTTATAAATCTTTTTTTTAACTCGTTCAACACACTCTTTTTCATCAGAAACATTCTTATAAAATTGACGCATAAGTCATTTGCAATTCTCTGCGCTTCGGACATTGAATTGCAAAAAGTGAAAATTCTGAAATTGAAAAATTCTTTATTTTGATGAAATTCTAGCGAAATTCCGGGCACGAGCTTGAATTCAAATTGGTTTCTGATTGAAATATGCTTTATTTTATTAAAATAGTTTTACTTTACTCATGCCCTTCTCATTTTTCCTTATGAACTACACGACCGTTCGAACGTCCGTAAGGAAATTATCATTATCGATAAATTTTTTACACCTTTCGAAGCAATTTTCACTCTTTTCCCTTCTATCGGAAGCATATACATCGGAAGCATCTCGTGCATGCTTTGAAGATGATAGCGAAAGAAAATCATTTATGACCGTCTCGATACTTTATTCCGGTCACGTTGTTTAGCTATGGGAAGTCAATCCTTGAGATAGATATCTTTAAGAAATTTTATAGACACCTTTTTTATATTCGGTTAATAAATTGATGAATTATTTAGATTATCTGGAACATGATAACCAGAATCGTTTGCTTCCGTTAGATGATTGGAAAGGAGATTAGTTTGTGTATCTATATTTCCTGATAATCAACTCATCTTTCATTTTTTTGACTCTAAATCCAAGTAATACGATCCCAAAAATACTTTCTACTCGAAAAAGCATGGAAATAAAATTCTTGTATTTATTCAAAGTTTAATCGAAAACTTTGTTTTCATATGAAGTTATACAAATTGTTACAAATAAACAAAATTGATGCTCTCTTGAGTGTACGTTTCTCTATCCAACAACAAACCCTTTTTGTGGTTCATCTCTTATCAGATTCCCTTCAATTATATGAACAAGCAATAATTACAATAGAAAATTATCGTTGAATACTGCAGTGTTGAACTTTGATTGTTGTTGTTTAATCTTCTTCATCTTCCTTCATTCATGCCAACTGACAACTACCATGGAATTAATGAAATCATCTTCATACGTTATCATATAACGGGCTTTGGCATAGAACAAACTTCTATTTATGTTTTGGAATATTTTTCCGACAAACATTGTTTAGTTTACCATGTGAACTTCTGTTTATGTTTATCATGTTAGTGAGCTTTTCATGAAACTTTTGTTAGAGCTTTCAAAAAGAATTTGTAAAATAAAGTTTGAGAGTGTTAAGTGAATCAATGGTGATGATCTTTGACAGATTCAAGGAATTAATTCCGAACAAAGCTTGAATAAATAATTTCAATTTGAGTTTCAAGCTCTCCCGACAATCGATGTCAATTGGTTTGATGATTTATAACACTCGTGGTCAGTCTTCGAAGTCAATGCGATTTATAAGCACAATAAAAGTCTTCATCAGGAAAAATATTTCATTTTTCCAAGACTTTTTCTGCTTTTGTTTTATTAATTGCACTTAAATATGTATGGACTAAATAAGAAGTAAGACCACAAACATGAAGTCAGCAGGTGTACAGAACAAAATGAAACAAAAAAATTTCTTCATGTTCAACAAAAAAGGCTTGGAGCTCAAGTAGATTCTCGACAAATGATAACACTCGTTATCTTGCCTTTGTTTAAATATTTTTCATGCACAAAGGAGAAATTCTCCAGCTTTTTATCTGTGATGTGGAAAAAGGATGACTAAAAAGGTTCTTTTAAATAAATGAAGTTTTCTACTGTTTAAACTTATGTATTGATGCAATCAGTTCATTTATCAAGTCATAACCAAGCACAAGTTACTGGTTGCAAAGTCAAATAAACATCAAATGAAGGAAACATTGAGATCTACAACATTTTCGGGTCTCCAAACGACTTTGATAAACCGAAAAATAATTGAAGCATCTTGAATCCTCTTTTTGGTTCAGCACATCAGGAGAAAGTCATTAAAAATAGACGAGATGAAAGAAGGAGGAAGAATAATTCGTTTTCCCCACATGAATCATATAAAAATAACTTAGTATCTATGTTTAGATGTCTGTGATAAGTAAACAAGCAAGGGCGTTGATGCCACTTCTAACTTTTCCTGTTTGCTTGTTTCCAAACCCAACTACGACATTCGAGAGAAGATAAAATAAACTAATGCTCTTTCCTGATATCCTTGCGTAAATTGAAACAAGAGCAACAAAAGTTTAATGACCAATGTTCAACATTCATTTCAATCAAGTCAGTTTATTCCTTTGTGATTTGTTTTCTTCATGTATTCAATGAGAGTTCTACATTTGTTTTTACATCCACTTTACGTCGTTTGATGTGATGCTACACATTTATTCTCGTCTACAATAAGGGAGACGAAAACAACATGCAAATTCATAGCAGTGGTGATGGTCACCAGTGGTCAGAAACAATATAATTTTCTATTTTATATCTCGTCGCTTGACATGTGTAAAACTTTTGTTATATTCTCCAAGCGCAATAAATTTCTGAAGCGATGTGGAACTATTTCATTTTTGTTGGGCACTTTGGGTTTGCACGAGCTTTTGTTATATGAACTTAATAACATCATGTCATATAAACAATTAAAAACAATCAAGCAAAATTAAATTGTGCTTATAAAGGGCTTCAATTAAATAGGAGAAAAGATTTCTTTGTGAACTTATCATATTTAACGGATGACGCTTCTTTTTTATATGGTGTAAACTTTTGAAGTTCAAATGCTTCACTTGAATCTTTTCTTTGACAGAGCAGCGCTTTGTTCCGTGACTTTTTTTATGTTTCAGAACAGTGAAACGGAACAGATCGGAAATACAAATCTGTTCCGGAACGGAAAATGGAACAAAATGGGAAAAAGTCTGCGGAACAAATCGCTGCAAAATATTTGTAAATTATTTTCAAAGCATAATCCAAATGAATGAATTCTTCAATATTTTACCTATTTACATTCATATTTTGATTGAACATGCCATACAAATTTCTCAAAGAATTTTCAATAGCCATATGGTCATTGCTTTCATATCTAAAAGCAAACTCTTTACATATTTATCTCAAGCCATTTCATTTCCATGTACGTTTTCCAATAAAATTTGTAAAACAGAAAATTGAACAATTTACATTCATTGAATGAGAAGTCGAATAGATATAAAGCGTGTTTAGTAGTTTAGTAATAACACTTTATATTCTTGTTACCTTTATGTACGAATGTAGTGTGTGTCTGTCTGGAATCACGTGTGAATAACTGATATTGAACGTGTTTTATACTCACAAGTTATGAGTCATGGCAGGATTATGACATGCATGTTATATTGTCAAACAGAGATTAGCTCAGCATTTTGGCTTGAATTATTTGCTTGGTAAAAGCTGGCGTCGGCATGGAAAGTAATTAAAGAATATTCATAAAATGTGAAAAGTTAAATCTCTTGCTTTAAGTCACTACATGTGTTGAAGGCTTTATTGTTGCTCAACGAATTTTCATAAGGATGTGTTGAGTGATTTCCACATGTTCAGCTGTTTAATGGGAAAACATTTATCTAACATTTAAATTTCCATCATTTTTAAGTGAGAAATATTCACTCAAATGCCTAGTTAAAGTACCTACTATAAATATTTTAGTTAAATCAATTTAATTTGCGAACAAAGCGGACTCGTGCATAAAATTTACTTGTTTATTTTGTTTCAATGCTTTATTTGCATCCTTTTCAAATAGTAGCAACAAAAATGAATGTTCAACTATCACAAATTTCCTTTTTAACATT